AGCCTCGAGCTCACGCTCCTCGGCACCGTAAGCTCCACTGTCATCGTCGAGACCATCGGCCTCGGGCTGGTCAGGCGGGTACTCAGCAGGGGCAGAGTCATCGGAATCCCTAAGAAAAAAAAATGTTAGTAAAAGCCGCACTAGGTATGTAAATAAACAAAACAAGGGGTTCTCACCATTTAATGGCGAAGCGGGTCACACGGGGCTTTTCAGCGAGGACATTGCGACGAATGCGCTCAATAACGGGTTTCGCAGGAGGCTCAGCTGCCAGCTCCTCGCTGTCGTACTCGTTGTTCACATAGTAGCCAACCCGGACAAACTCTCGGCCGTCGTAGCTGCAGGTGAGCAGGATGACAGTGACTCCGAGCATCTCGGAAGTAGGAATGCGCTTGACATCAGGTGCATCGGCCTCAAAGATGAACTTGTTCACTCCGACAGGGATGGGTCCAACGAGGAGGGAGTCGAGTTCTTGGTCATACTCGGCGCTGTGATAGTTAGACTTTGTGGCATTGGTAGGAGGGAGGGAGGGTGGACGTACGAAGTGGCGGATCCGACGTAGGTGAGTTTCCATTCCAAATCTGAAAGAATGTTAGAAGAGTGGTCTGAGGAGATGGGAGAATAAGCCAATGCTCACCCTTCTGGAGCTGCTCAAGGCACTCGAAGGTAATTTCGAATTGGTACGAGGCGGTGAAAGGAGCCGGGTTGTTGAGGTTTTTCACTCCAAGGAGTGAGACGACGGACATTGTGATAAGATATGAGTGTATGTACGTGGGATTAAAGAGTAGAGGCAAGAGTAGAAGATTGTATGAACAGGGGGGTGGAAAGAAGAAGAAGATAGAGAAAATAAGAGAAAACAACAGGTCCACAAGAATGCAGTTTGCTCTCAACCCCTCTAGCTCAATGCGAGGAGCCCATCGATCGACGCGCCTTTCGCGTCCCTCGCATTGTCCTCACCGCCCGCACGTGACCCTAATTTCAATCCCCGGGCAACTTGCATCACAGCCCATCGCAGCTTTGCACCCTCTCACTCTTGGCTATTATTTGCTTCACATTGCGGCTGAGGGTTATCTCGTCAACAGTGGCTGTGATCCACCTTAACCCTTGACCTTCGGAGCATTGGTCTTTACTTTAATTCCTCCTGATACCACACCGCGCAAACCCTGCTTCGGCCTGCGCCGTGACTTTCGCGGTTGCTTACTTTGCTTCGACCTCGCTCTTATCGCATTAATCATCTATCCCATCATGGCGGACGATGAAGCTGAAGCTGCCTTCTTCCAGGCTCAAGCCTTGAATCCCGATTCCCAATCCCCCACTAAGGAGCAGGAAGGTGATAACTCAGACGCAGAATCAGATGACTACGACCCCTCACTGGCATTGGGGGATCACTACTCCGTCTCCCTTCCCGAGTCCAAGCAGCCTGGTGCCGGCCCCACTGATGCGGCTCCCTCAGATGAGCCCGAAGATCCCATTCCCAACCCGACCGTCGCCCCAGACGCAGATGTCGCCTCAGAAGTAGACGCAGACGCTGGCCAGACTAGTGACTCCCCCGACCCTTCTCAGAACCCCTCACGTGTTGAGTCGTCGACCCCCGTGCCAGCATCTACTGCTGAGCCACAGTCCAAGACCCGAATAATTGGCGGATTTGAGGTTGATGATGACGAGGATGATGAGGGTGACGCGGAGTATGAGCCGCCGGCTGTACTTGGGGGTGAAGATGTCAATGCTATGCCTGTGACCATGTCTGAAGATCCCAGTTCAGGAAATGCAATGCAAAACACTTCCCCTGATGTATCATCACACCATGCTGAGCAGGCACCTGCCAGTGGACCAGATGTTGCCAATAGTTCTTATTCTCCTGATCCTGTTCATAATATTGATCCCTCTTCTGTTCCTGGCCAATCGCACTGGGCTGCGCAAGACCTGCAATCCGCAACCATGCAGAACAGTACTGTTCCTACTTCTGTACCTGACTCTCCAGCCTCAAAGGGTCGTCTGGCCCATGATCGTGTCGGCATGCTGGAAGACCGGATTCGAGAGGATCCCCGAGGTGATATCCCTGCTTGGTTGGAGTTAATTGCCGAGCACAGAAGCCGCAGCAGACTAGACAGCGCACGTGACACCTATGAGCGGTTCTTGAAGTTGTTCCCCATGGCGGTAAGCCTACCTTTGCTCCCTTTCTTTGTTCTTTCATTTTCACCCTCGGCAAGATACAAGATTGCTAATGGGATACATCACAGGCCGACCAATGGGTGGCTTATGCCAGCATGGAGTCTGAGCTCAATGAATTCTTCCGCTTAGAGCAGATCTTTAACCGAACGCTCCTGACAACCCCCAGCGTTCAGCTTTGGTCTGTCTACCTTGATTACATTCGTCGTCGTAATCCTTTGACAACAGATGCCTCTGGCGAGGCAAGGAAGACCATTTCATCGGCATATGATATGGCCATTCAATATGTTGGGATGGACAAGGATTCCGGAAACATATGGGCAGACTATATTGAGTTCATCCGTTCTGGGCCAGGCATCGTTGGTGGATCTGGATGGCAGGATCAACAAAAGATGGACCTACTGCGAAAGGCCTACCAACGAGCCATTGGCGTGCCGACCCAAGCTGTCAATACTCTCTGGAAGGAGTATGATCAATTCGAGATGAATCTAAACAAGCTCACGGTAAGCTGGACAGTACTCGAGTTCAACTGGCTTATATTGACCTTTTCTATCAGGGACGCAAATTCCTTCAAGAACATTCACCGTCATACATGACTGCGCGTAGCTCATACACCGAATTGCAAAACATCACTCGTGACTTGATTCGCACTTCGCTTCCACCGCTGCCTCCCCTTCCGGGGTCTGAAGGCGACGTTGAATTCTCAGCACAAGCAGATATCTGGAAGCGCTGGCTCGCATGGGAAAAAGAAGATCCTCTGGTACTGAAAGAAGAAGACCCTGCTGCTTACAAGTCACGCGTAGTGTACTTCTACAAACAGGCACTCATGGCACTGGCCTTCTTGCCCGAGATGTGGTTTGATGCAGCTGAGTTCTGCTTCTTGAACGACATGGAGGACGCAGGCACGGAGTTCTTGAAGAATGGCATTGATGCAAACCCAGAGAGTTGTTTGCTGACATTCAAACGCGCGGATCGATTGGAGGTTACCTCGGATTCGGAACAGGATTCCGCCAAGCGTGCTGCCAAGGTCCGGGAACCGTACGACAAATTGCTTGATGCTCTTTACGAGTTGATCAATAAGGCTCGCAACCAGGAAACCCAGGACGTCGCACGCATCGAGGCATATTTTGCTCCACAAAATGTGGAAAGCCAACCTCAAAATGAGGATGATGATGATCCTGAAGCTAAAGAAAGAGAAGCCGCCAAGACGGCACAGATTGATGCGGTCCGGAAGGCCCATTCCGTTCAGATCAACATTATCTCCAAGACTGTCTCCTTTGCATGGATTTCACTCATGCGTTCGATGCGTCGAATTCAAGGTAAGGGAAAACCGGGGGAACTGGCTGGCTCTCGCCAAATTTTTGCCGAAGCCCGGAAACGAGGTCGGATTACAAGCGATGTTTACATCGCGAGTGCTCTGATGGAGTACCATTGCTACAAAGACCCTGCAGCCACCAAGATCTTCGAGAGGGGTGCAAAATTATTCCCGGAGGATGAGCACTTTGCGCTCGAATACTTAAGGCATCTGCTCGACATTAATGATACCATCAGTAAGTTGACATCCCGTGTTTATAGAAGACCTACTAACCACTGCAAAAGATGCCAGAGCCGTGTTCGAAACAACCGTCAGAAAATTGACATCCAACCCGGAGAATGTGTACAAGGCTAAGCCCATCTTTTCCTTCCTCCACGAGTATGAATCTCGCTACGGTGACCTCACCCAAGTTATCAACTTGGAGAACCGCATGCGCGAACTATACCCGGAGGATCCTGTCCTGGAACAATTCGCCAATCGCTACTCTAACTCCAACTTTGACCCTACGTCGGTGCAACTCATTTTGTCCCCATCCCAGACAAGGCAAAAGACCAATATGGCAGGAATCTCCGCGGAATATCACGGTTCTCCCATGGCCAGATACATGGATACCTCTCTCAATTCGCCTAAGAGACCATATCCTACTGATGAATATGATGAAGACTCAGGTCGTCCACGAAAGTTTGTTCGCGCTGAGTCACCAATGAAGAGCGCGCAAGCTCGGCGCCTCGACCAGCCGAAACGAGTACAACAGTTGAACGGCCAGAGCACCTCGTACAGACCCCAAGGGTCTCCAGCTCCTCTTCCTCGTGAAGTGGTGAATCTCTTAAGCATCCTGCCTTCTGCGGCAACATACAATATTACCCGCCTTTCTCCCGAGAAAATGATAGACCTTCTTCGCCACGTTGATATTCCTTCCGACATTTCACAAATACAGATACCGCAAGCTGCGCACGGTGGAGGCCAAAATCCCTACTCCGGTAAGTCTATTATCTGTCTCTCTCATAATGACATTATCACTCATATATCCCCAGGTGGTTACCGTTGAGCCCGTGATAACTCGTTTCTCTCTGGGGACCACCATCGTTCCACTTGCAGTGTAAAACCCCTTGCTCTCTGCTTTTGCAATTTCATTTCCCCGGCGCGCAAAATATCCCGATTTGTCTTTGAGAACTCGATGGCCCAGCTTTTTTTTTTCGTGGGGGTCATTTCATGAAACATGGAAACATGGTCGGAGCATACGCGGTTGTTTAGAGCCCAGCCCCCCTTTGCATCTTCCACCGGCGTTGATCTACCTGGCATTTATCTCTTTCTTTTTTTTACATAGGGCCACGGGCCACCAATTCTGCTTGCTGGTTGGACCCACCCAGCCATGCTTTGTACAGACTCGAATAAGCAGATAATCTCACGAATAAATTAAGCAAGCACCATGCACTCAATTTGTAGACTGTTTGACTATCTAGAGAATTGGTTCAAGACCCTTCCGTCCATTTGGCCTGGACACTTGTCTGGCTGCTCCTCACCACTTCCAGCCATTTGGCCCAGATTTGAGGTCATCCGCCGAGGCGGGAAGATACTCAGCGTCATCGGGGGAGGCCAGGACCAGGGAAAACATCACGTACTGGTCGTCTCTCCATCCATTGGGGACTGGGAAAGCCCGGCTGAAACCGCAGATTTTGCTACCTGCTATGAGCTTGGGATTGTAAGGGATGGAGTAGAACATACACATTATCTGATTCGTCGACTATGATCTTTGTCGGGGTCTGGAAGATTGGCTCGTACTTGAAGCTTAGAGCTTCGCGAATTCTAGTTAGCTATAAGTATATGATAATCAAGCTCGGATAACAAATCTATAGGCCTTCTGGAAACTCTTCCGAATTTTCTGTCGTTTTTTGTACGGATACATCCAGAACTGCTCAATATCAAGAGGATCTCCTGGGACTTTTTCCCATACAAGGTATGTGATATACCCACCAGAGACAAGGTCCACTTCATCCTGCTTGCCGATTTGGTACACAAGAAGACTGGGGGTAGCAGTGCAGCCGTTCTCTGTAAAACGCTTCATGGCACCCAGCTCGACGTGTTTGCGTGGCCCGCAGGCCTGTTCCTTCCGAACTGTCGAGTCTTCAGGTTCAGTGTCAATTAGAGGAATCTGTTTGTAGATACGCATCAAGGTGAGCGTATCCTCATTCTCGGCAAGCCGACAAAGATATTTTCCTGTGGTATATGCCGGGCCCATACCAATGGCGAAATCCTCTTGGGTAACCGGGGTTGGTTGCTCACTTAGCTTTTCCATGATAAGCCATTTGCGAGTGGGATAGAGAGTAGCTTATTTTTCATTCGAAGAGTCCGGGCAGTGTGTAGTGATCTCTTTGCCCATCATCTTGGCAAGATATTGACGAGTATACATTTCGTCGCACATGGTGGGTGTGAAAAGGGGGGGGGGCAGTATCGAGAGGCTGAGAGAAGAGAGTGCAATTGCTGACTGGGGAAAGTAAGAAAAAAGAGGGAGAGGAGCAATTAGCTGGCAGTCCTCCAGGTATCGTTTATATGTATGCAGCAACCCGTGCGGTAGTCACACTGACGTATGCATCACTGCGGCTGTACGGGTGGCCGTTGGGGAGGACTCTTCAAAAGTAGGTTTCTGAAGATTGACCACTAATTCTAGTTGGTACATGACAAGATCGTCTGGTTTTTCCTATGTCGTTGGTGCAATGTCCACACAATATGAAGTTACGAGTCTTCGGCTACCGCCGTCCCCACCCCTCATGTATTCCGTGGGACTCATCAAGTGGCCATGAGAGCCACAACTTCAGGAACATCCACGAGAAAGCCCAGTTTGATATTTGATGCTGACCTACATGGACTTCCACAACATGGTAATGTTGATGTCCCTGTGGTAGGTTGGGCAGCAGGTGCTACGGGACCCTCTGTCGACGCTGTCTCGTGGAGGCTACGGAGAGATGGTGGTCAAAGAGATGGGGAGAGGAAGAAGAGAAGAAGAAGAGAAAAGAGTTGGGGGGGGGGGGCCTTTTATACCCCAACCCACGTGCCTTCCTCAAGTGCGACAGGTCCCTCGCTCCTTCCCTGTCAATGTCAATGTCAATGTCACATGGCACCTTCCCAATCCGTAATGTTTACATTGTTTACATTGAACACTTGCAAGGAAGGTGCATTGACTAGACATTACAATTGGAAACTGTTCATCATGAGACTTTTGTCTCAAAGCAAGTCATGTTCAGTTCAGTGGAATGATACATGTCTGATATCCAACACAAAAGGAGTGATATATGCAGCTGAAAACAAGCCGAATACACAAAGTGCCAGCCTAATTTCTTTGAGCATACTGGAAATTCAATCTCCATTCTGGGCAGTCGCACTTGGACAGTTTTCCTCCGTATTAGTTGTGACATCGAATTCCTTCTTACAATTGACACAAGACGCGTAGCGTGGTACCGGTCTCTTATTGTTGCCAGGGCTCTCTTCAGTATCGGAGACTATCGCCACCAGTCGACTCTCGGCTTCTACGCGGGCTTCGTCGTTTTTTCGCGCAGATGGATTTGAAAACCGCGCGTGGTGTCTGTTCGGACACGTTGTTGATCGCGTGACCGAGAACGGTGGCCTCGAGCACTTCCCCGGTAATTGGCATGATAATTTGTCTTGTTGCTAGGGTTGGCTATTCAAGACTGCTGGTGATAATAACAAAAGTTGCAATGAACTAGTAAGAAAGAAGAGGAAAAAAAAGAATGGGCCCGAGCCCGGGATTGAACCGGGGACCTCGCGCATTAATGCTTTGGGTGAACCCTAAGCGCGAATCATACCACTAGACCACCCGGGCTATTTATGGAAAATTTCTGGGGACTTGACACCCCAAGCCATTTCGATGGACGCAGCTTTTCTGTACTATTGAATTGCAGCGATATTTCATCAAGAGAAGAGTCTTTGAAAATCAGCAATCGTCAATGCACTGAAACACCTGCCTCCTCCGTCGGCTCTGAGATGGCAAATATTAACCTACGCTTGATAGAATCTCGCCCTCACCCATCACCGGGCCTTCGCTGTCTCGTGATATAGAGTATCATTGGTAAGCCACTGCCTTTAGTCTTGGCTGTCGTGTCGATAAAATGAACATGTCTTCATTGGAAAGCTATCGTAATGCTATAGTATATAACACTGTCAAATTGAAATCCGGTTGCTATTCTCGTTCAACTCAAGATGGATTTTGTTAGAGCTCAAGGATGGGAAATTCTTGGTCCTGGTCATCCAGCATCATATCGACTCCTAATCCACTCCCTTGCAAATATCCCCGGATCCATTCGCGATTACGATCACAAATAACGTATTCTCTGTTACCCTTAAAGACTCGTACCGATAAACGAATGATTGGCAGCGTCAAAGCACCGCCTAATTTCAGGTTGCGGACCACGAGGCATTACTCCAGCCATGCTAGAACCCTTTCTCGCACTTCGTTCGTTTCAGGAAACCGCCTGACAGTAACAAATGAGACATTTTCTTTCCATCAGGAAGAATGATTTCCTTAGGAATTAGTACAATGCCAAGATCTGCAGCCCACGTCTAGTTATTACGAGGTCATGCAATGCAACAGTACCCAATTTGAGACCCTTATTTCTATCTTCCATTGCTCGCTCCTTCGAGATCCTGCCTTTAAAACCTATCAACACAACCTCCATCGAACATTACAGAATGGTCCGTTTCTCCACCTCGCACCAACCTCTATTTTAATTCAGTAGGCTGACAAACTCCTCAGAACCAAACCTATAGTGCTGGATCCTGCCACGTCCATGACAGGATGCGATTGAGAAAACCACACCTGAAAGACAACCTCCCAACCCAGCTATGTCTTCTATGTAATCGGGCCTTCTGCATCGACCACGAGGGGAAGGAGGACGGTGTCTGTGAGATCAATCATGAAACATACTACCGTAACCATCCGGACAAGCAGGAGTACTTGTTTCGGACGTATGGGGAGTGGGAGAAAGAATGTGAGAAGATGAAGGCTGATGATATGTCGGGCATCCAGTGAGGTGATGTGATGGTGGGGAAAACAGAAAGTCCCTGGGCAGACATCCCACACATCGGTCTTCCATATAACCATGAATTTGACATAATCCTCGGCTCTCTGCTTCTTTGTAGGTATCCGGGAGCAGTATATCGCCAGTTCAGCCACAAGACAGGGCAACGTATTTTAATTATAGTAAGTCACTGTATTGATACTGATACAGGGATCTCGATGATCCATTTCTAGCCCTAATATAGACTAATGGATCTTCGCATTGGGTTTTGTACAGTGGGTACTAACATTTGCAGTTACGTGACGGCACCAATGAGGCAAAACTAACCACATACAGTAATTCACAGATCCGCCGTATACAGAATATATAATTTCTCCAATAAAGCCGAATTCGGCGTACTTGCTAATCCTATAGGGTCTAACATGCTGGAAAATTGAAGCCATTTTAACTTTCGAATCCATGGTATCTATCTAAATGCAATTTAAAGCCAAGTAGTAGGATCAAGACCTTGCCCGATAAAACAGCTCAATAGGAACAGTAAAGACCATATTTCCAGCGATAATAATAGGCAAATGACATTTCCGAACAGTCTCTACTTCTTCTTCGGCGGTGCAACATTGAACTGGAAATGTACAATATCGCCATCTTTGACGACGTAAGTCTTGCCCTCCTGTCTGTACTTTCCAGCAGCCTTGATTGGTCCCATCGACTTCTCGCCGTTGCAGAGGTCATGGAAGTCTTGGTACGCCACGACTTCGGCCTTGATGAAACCGCGCTCAAAGTCGCCGTGGATAACACCAGCTGCTTGTGGAGCGAGTGTTCCCTGCTTGATCGGCCAGCAGCGGATCTCTTTCTCGCCGGCGGTAAAGTAGTATTGCAGTCCGAGCTTAGTGAAGCCTGCCATGACTGTTAGTATTGAATATGTGAGGCAAATACTGGGGACATACCCTCGGTAGTGATCTTGCCCAAGCGGCTCTGAACCTTAATATCGGCCATGAAGGCGTCTAGCGCTGGCTTGTCATCCTTTAGGGACCACAGCTTCTCCTCAAACTCGACGGAGAAGGGGATGATATCACTGCCTTGGCCGCCGTGGGCCTTGACCCACTCCGCGATCTTGGGCAGGTACTTGCACTTCTGGCGGATGTAGTCCTTCATTGTCAGGTTGATGAGGTAGATTACCGGCTTGGTAGTGATAAGACGTAACTTGATATTGTCAGCATTGTCACTGATCTCGGGAGTATTAGAATTGGACAAACCTTCTCGTTGATCAACTCGATTTCCGGAGTCGTCCACTCTCCATCTCTAACAGGCTTATCCTGTTCCAAGAGCTACAAGGAGTTAGCAAACTACACATCTCTTCGAAGAGAAATCGTGACTTACCTCCTTGATTTTAGCAGTGGTCTCGTCGAACAGCGGCAGCATCTTGAATTTTCCTCCAGCCTTCCGCACAATTGCCTCTTCGGCAATCTTAGCTTTGGCGAGAATATCCAAATCCTTCTTACACAGCTCGCTCTGAATAGTATCTGTGCGCAGCACCATCAGCGTCTATTTCTCCTGCATCACCTGGACAGGGATAAATGCTTACCTAAGTCGCGGACAGGATCAACAGAGTCATCCACATGAAGAACCTCATCGTTATCGAATGCGCTGTGTAATAGTAAGTAGCTGCTTCATTTCTCAAGTTCCCGCCACGAACGCACCGGACAATGTGGTACATGCCATCCACAGCCTGAATATGACTCAAGAATGCATTTCCCAACCCGGCTCCCTCACTGGCTCCCTTGATCAACCCCGCAATGTCCGTAACCTGCAAATAGGCCGGGTACTTGCTGGGCGGGTTCCAGATCTTGCACAAGAAGTCCTATCTTCCATTAGCCAGGGGTTCATCGTACTTGAAGTGACCAAAAATGGAAAGAGCCTCTCCCGGGAAGGGTAAGATCCATCACGTGGAAAAACGCACACAGAAATCGAGAAAAGGCAAAAACATACATATCTTGGATCGGGAACGATGCAACGGGCTTCATTTGGCTCGATGGTGCAGAATGGGTAATTTTCTGCCGCAGCGTTCTGCTCCGTCATGAGGTTGAACAGCGAACTCTTGCCCACGTTCGGTAGGCCGACACAGCCCATCTTGAGGTTGGACTTGACGCGCCCGAAGGCGACGACATTGTTCGTCGGCGCTTCTACTGCTTTCTTTGGCGGCATAGTGTACTACAGTTATCACCGGGGTTTGAGGATAAAAAGGATGGAGGTGTTTGCCTACGACAGAGCAGTTGTGCGTGTAGAAAAGTTTTCATTGTGCCATTGGTCAGCTGTCACTGCATTCTCCACCATCGTAAGTTATACTCAGTTTGCTGTATTCGGTGTTTCTACAAAGATTGCATATCGGCTGTTCTTGTCTTATCTTAAGATCTAGAAACCCACTTGGATATGTCAGGTCGCTATAAAATAACGAACATTGTAAATATCTTCTACACATTGAAGTGCTTGGTGCCTGTACAAAAAAGCCACTAATCCCCAATTTATCAGGACAATGGTACGGAGTTCTCGGTCCAACGCTTCCAAACGCCGAAGTGGAGTTTTGGGTTTCACGGGTCGAACGCAAAAACTAGTCTAATGCACATGTACCTTTTCTATGGGATACACATACAAAAGGTACCTGATCATTTGTTGTTCAAATAGACCATATAGTGATATAGAGATCAAGTCGGAATAAAGCGTGGGCTACTTCAAGAAATTTACACTATACACTTCTACTAGACAGAAGTTGACAGCTAGAGGGACCCGATTGGAGGGTTGTACCTTCAGTCCGTTTGCATTCTGACTAGCTGTCAGCTGTCTAGCCCTATCTCGGAACAATTTGTCGACTGTGGGGAGATCCTGTTCGACCTGTCCGACAGCCAGAACAAGGAAGTGTGCCTTATCCAATACCATGCGGAGAATGAATGGCTCCTAGCAAAGGAATGCCACCAAGAGACCGGCTATCAAGCGATATGTAGACTACCACGCCCACAACTGTATGTATCCTTGTGTCTAGGTAGAATGCACCATCTCCTTAAAGTAGGCCTAGAGCCCTAGCAAGGACGGTTGTGGCCTTGTAGCCTTATTATGGTTCCTCCATGGCCATGATTGTGATGAATCCTAGTAGCATCGGAAGAGATGTTATGATGAGTCGCCAGGTCCATGGAGAACTCGTATACTTCGTCTATGTGATATTCTAAAGAAATTCAGATTGAATGCCCTTTGTATTGCGACCATGTAGTTATGAAGAGATTTATTGACGAATAATTGTATTAGACCAGTGCAGCCTAAGGATGCGGCGGAAATGGGGCAAGTTTTCTGATCTTGAGCCTTGAATAGCGGTTTTGGGATAGTAATCAAAGATGTGAGTCGTCTAAGTATTAGGGTACTTGATATTGCTTGCCAAACCCTAGTATAAGCAAGTACCTTATCGTCACGTAGCGCGGGCTTTGACAGCATTTATGGTTTTTTCTTTTGATCAATTTCTATGTCTTTTGACTGTAAGTGCGTGATGTCTTTTTTGACATATCAGCCAGAAGTGCGAGGTATCGAAATACTAGGGTACTTAATATTGGTAGACCAACCCTAGTACAAACAAGTACCTTATCGTTACGTAGCGCGGGCTTTGACAACAGTTGTAATTCTTTCTTTATTCTTTCTTTCTGATTGAAATATCCCTTTTCAACTTTTAAGAACGAGATATCTTTTGGGTATTGACCTACTGTCTGAAATTCAAGTATCGCCTTCCTAATTGGGCTAGGCACCTACCAATACTTGGCCTATACCGCCTTCCAACTTTTACACCGCTTTTATATCAAACTCCTCTTGATAGGAGCAAGACAGCAGATACCTAAAATTTGTATGCAAACCCCTAATTAAATCCTGTCATATCTTGCTTTATAATCAGCTTCTTCATCGGCAAGGGTTAAATCCCATAGGGGTGAGGTAGAATATACGTTTTTTTCTGATCAAAATGCATCTCATTTTACTATGTAAACCAGTCTTGGTCGCAACTAATTAGGAAGGCGGTACTAAAGATTCAGACAGGAGGGTCTGATCTATGGGTGGCTGTATCCTTTATTTCTGAATAAAAGTGCGAGATATCTGAGTACTAGGTACATGACTTTTTTAAGCAAACCCTAGCATAATTAAGTACCTTATGGTTATATGGCGGACTTCAACTATAGTTCTATCTCTAACTAGAAGTGCGAGATATCTAAGCACTAGATACCTCATCTTGTTAGGCAAACCTTAGTATAAGCAAGTACCATATTATCATTTAGCACGGACTTTGACCGCAGTTCTGTTTTTAACTAGAAGTGCGAGATATCTGAGTCTTGAATATCTTATTTTGTTAGGCAAACACTAGTATAAACAATTACCTGATCGTCACGTAGCGCGGACTTTGACTGCATTTGTGATTGCGAATGATATTATACTATATTAGGCATCTCTATGGCTTGCTCCTACCATTGAACAGGTTATACATATAATTTCCGGTCAAAAAGGCAACCGCTATACAATATCAATTCATACCTTAAAGGGAATACATCTGCTCTTTATGCTTGCCCTAACCTTTCTATAAAACCACCCCTTCGCCGATTTCTACTTTCTTTCTTCTTCTTCCTTCTCCATCACTCTTCTTTACTTCGTCTTTAGTAGCTTGGATTCCTGCCATCATCTGCATACTTCCAAGGTACATTTGCCACTTTAACGTTAAACGTATTAACGCATTTCTCTTCCTGTGAGCCCCTGTTAACGTTGAACGCAGTTCTCTCCCAGTGATCCCACGAATCCTCCATTTCAATTTCTCTTCTTCTTGCTCCCCTCCATATTCTCTTTTCCCTCTTTTCCAATCATCATCCTTGGCTCACTGCAATCCTTGACTTTGTAAGTGATCATCCTTTTTACACTCTGGCCTCTCCTACACTGTATCCAAGTGCAATGAAAGCGACTGGTTTCTACTTCACTTGATATCGCTGAGCAGTACCACCTCACTTTGATCTATCCATCTTACTTGGTCGCTTTACATCTATGATCCATTGCAGGCAATTTCAGACGTGAACTAGAACAGCGACTAACAAAGGTCGATTAATAGGAGCAACGTCCATCATGGCTCCGAAAAAGGCCATGAAGCCACCCTCGAAAGAGGGCAAAGAGGAGGAGAGGTCTCTTTCCGGGCACCGCCCTCCTCCTACTGCTGCTATGAATACGTCTTCAAAGCCTCCTCCCTCCTCTTCATCCTCCCGTCAAACTAGGGGTCTTCCTCTGCGCCTTTCTACCCCTGCGGCAAAGCCTCTGGATCCGCGCCAGATCCAAGAGCTGCGTGACCACAAGGCCAAATTGGAAGATGACGCACGGCGCAAGAAAGAAGAAGAAAGTACTGCTTGGATGCGTCGAACCAACTATGACCCTGATGCGGGCGAGTACAAACGGCCCAAGAGCACTGGTTCTAGTAGCAGTGACTCTCCCATCCGTCGAGTCCAGACCCCTCCAGAATTTCCGGAAAACTGGACCGCGGAAGAAAGGGCAAACTACGTCCGCCTTGCAAGAGAAGGCGTGAAAGTGGCTGTTTTTGAACAACACAGACTGGACCTTGAGAAGGTTGAGCACCATGAAGATTACATGACGGTTGTATGGGATGGCTGCAAGAACATTGACATTCCTTGGCATCGATTCAAAATCATGCCTGCTTCTGTAAGTCATTCCCAATAGCTCTGTGGTTGATGGATTTTACTAACCTTTTTGTCTAGTCTGCACCGGAGGAGACTCAAATCCAGCGTCGGATTGGTTACAACACTTCCGGCAAAGAGATTGAGGTTATGATGAACGCGTACCCGATCACTTCTTTCCCGGACAAGGCCGTCTACCAGTACGAGGTGAGTGTTTTTCCCCCTCCATCTAATGCCATTCTTCGCTCATCAATTTTTAGATCAATGTTCTCCACGGAGACCAGAACGAGACCGACAGACGGATCCTGAGAAAGTGCTGGAACAGTGAGACTCGAAAGGCACACATCCCTGATGGTATCTGGGATGGTGGAAGAATCTGCTGGTAAGTGCAATGTATCGAATTGCTGTTATATATTTTCTAACCTGTGTTGCAGGTCGCTACGCAACTTCGATGACTGGAATGAGATTATTGACTTCAGGAGTGAATTTACCCGGGATGTCAAGACTCTTACTAAGAATCAGTACAAGACGAGTCCTACTTTCAGAATGTCCGTCATGCAAAAGAGGAAGATCAATCTGTCAGTGATCAACTCCTGGTTGCAGAATCGCCATGATCTGGATCAACTCGTGATTGAATCTCTGAGTAAGTGCTCCCTTATTCCGCATCTTCCTCTGTTTATGATTCATCAGGCTGATAATGATAGGCTTCCTTGATCATTTGCTCCGTGAATGGCCCACCAAACAGTTCGCCGCAATCAAGCGGGCCTTCTTCTTCGACAAGCTTGGAGACGACGAGGAGCTGAAGCAGGAGTTTTACCAGCCGCTCGCCAACATGGGTGCTTCCGTTTACCGAGGAATCTACCAGGCAATTAAGCCAACTCCAGTAAGGCTCAATCCATTGATTCGAACCCAAGATTGGTATACTGACATTTACTTATAGCAAGGTCTGATCCTCAATGTTGATGTCGCTCATTGCGTCTTCTTTTCTCGTATTAGTCTTATGGGGTACATGATGAATGTGAACGGGTGGAACGATAAGTCGACCCTGGTCAGGAACCTACAGTCAACCCGCGACGAATTTGGCGGTACGAAGGAATCGAGGTACTTCGCACAGGTGAACAAGAGAATTCAAGGTCTTCGAGTGGCACCCAACTACGAGGGTTGTCCTTTCAAGATGAAAAGCTTCATTGTCAAGGGCCTGATTCACGCAAAGCCCAATGAGTTTTACATTAGCTATCACGACAAGGCTACTGGGACGTCTACTCGGATGCATCTTCAAGATTACTTCATGAAACGGTACAACATCCGCCTCGAATATCCCAATATGCTCTTGGTCGAGATGGTGAAGGAAGACGTTCATTACCCAGCCGAATTCCTAGTCATCAAAGGCCTTCAGAGATACCGCTACAAACTTACCGATATGCAGGCGGCGCAGATGATCCAATGGTGTGCAACCAGGCCTCCGAAGCGTTTGGCCAATGCTCGCCAGTCCAAGGAACTTCTCCAGCACAAGGAGGACCCGATCCTGAAGCTTTACGGTATGAAGATCAGTGACCACATGATCAAAACAAAGGCTCGCCTGCTTCCGAGTCCTGAGATTCAGTTCGGGGGCAACCGCAAGCACAACCCGCAGCATGCGGGAAGTTGGGATCTCCGCGGTAAGAAGTTTTACAAACCCAATGAAAAGGCCCTCCAGGCTTGGGGTGTTGGCTTCTTTTCCGGACATCGAAAGTCAATCAGCCATGACCAAACCCTCAACTGGGTCGACCAGTTTGTCAAGATGTACAAGAGCATGGGTGGTGATGTGACTGGCCGACCGGTTGTCAAAGGATTGAGCGAAGACGTTGGCATGAGTGTCAAAAAGCTGTACGATGCGATCGCAGCGCAGAACAAGAGTGAGCCACAGCTCATGGTCTTCATCGTTCCCGACAAGGACTCCTGGGTCTATCTTCGTCTCAAGAAGTCTTCCGACTGCCGGTACGGCACCCCCTCTCAAGTGCTCCAATCTGCACACTGCATCAGCAATAGACCTCAATACCACGCAAATGTTCTCATGAAGGTGAATGCAAAGCTTGGTGGAGTCACTGCTCGGGCTGTCCCCAAGTCAAAGAGTCAAGGTCTACGCCCAGGCTCCATGATCATTGGTGCAGACGTCACTCATCCAATGATGGGTGTGTGGACCCCGTCGTTGGCAGCCATGTCGGTTTCGGCAAACTCCACTGCAACTCGCTACATGGGTGGATGCGAGACTAATGGAGATCGAGTTGAGGTTATCCGGGATAAAGTGATCGAGTACATCCTGCACCCCATGGTTGCTGAGTGGAAAGCGACTGTTGGGGGCGGCAAGGCTCCTGAGTATGTCTACTATTTCCGTGACGGTGTTTCTGCGTCCGAATACCGGAGAATTCTTTCAGAGGAGGTCCCTGCAATCCGCTTTGCAATTGCACATGCATGTGGTCAGCCAGTCTGGGCAGGCAAGATGTGTGTTGTGGTTGCCAACAAGCGCCACCATCTTCGAGCGTTCCCTGACCCCAAGAATCGCGCAGCCGCAGACTCCCACGGAGCTCCTTTGCCGGGCACTCTTATTGATCGGGATGTTACTAGCCCACATGACTGGGACTTCCTGCTCTACACACACATTGCTCTGCAAGGAACTCCCCGCCCAGTCCATTACCATGTCCTGTTGGATGAGATGGGTCTCAAGCCCAATGACCTTGAGGGTATGATCAATGACCATTGCTACCAGTACATCCGCTCGACAACCTCTGTGTCTGTACACCCAGCAATCTACTATGCCCACTTGATTTCGGTTCGTGCTCGCCACCACGAGGATGTTCCTATTACCTCTGGCCCCCAGAGTGGCCCGGAGGTGAAAATGACAAACCCGAAGCCCAAGGAACCCCGAGCCAAGAGATTGCTTCCCATTGAAGGCACCTTAAACAGGCTGGCCCTGGGTATGTGGTACATCTAATTCAACTTGCCACATTTCTATGGTTGGGAACGAGATTCACTCTTGTCCGCCATCCCTCCCGAGGCATCTCATGACTCGGCTTTCTCTATCTGCGAACTGATTTCCTATTACTCTTCTTTTTCTTACGTTATTGCTCGAACGGAATATCGTCGGCATTGCTTCTGTGATGTCGCTCTTCGATGCATTTCCGAATGGGCCTACGTTTTCCATTTCCTTTTTCTCTTTTATCTTGGTGGACTTTCGTTTTCTATTTTATCGTCTATGTACACTGCATGATCTGGACCTGGTTTTAATGGGCGGTTGTTTTCCGAAACAACTTGGCCGATTGTATACCGAGGTTGATCTCCAGTTCATGACGAAATACTTTCATATTTCTTTACTTTATCATGTTGTTAACCCAGAAAATACAAAAAAAAACCCCTTTGCCCAAAATACTTCATTCTCCTATGCCATTATTTAACACACTTCAAGTAGTTAGAGGTTGGATAGTAACCTCTGATACAGAAAAAGTAGTCTTCCATTGTGGAATAGAACTTGGTGGATTGACTTGCTTTCTTTCCTTTCTTGGACATCTCTAACAAGTCTAAAATATTCATTCCATAAAGCTTCGGTGGAGTCATCATCTTGGAACAGCTCCTGTCCTCACTTCTTGTCACATCTATGATTGACAGGTCGAGCTACCCATTGATCTTTGCTTGAGCTGGCACCTACAAGATTTAAGTCATAGGAGAACAGGTCTAAATTGAATGAATCTGAATAGACATTCCGTCTATAAATGAAATCCCATCAAGGGATGTTATGATACAAAGACTGAAAGGGGAATTGTCCACTCTGCCGTTCAGCCAAGGATAGAGAAGGGAAAGGAAAACCAAGAAAAACTGGTAGAATACAAGGGCTGGATTATGTGTCGCTGAAAGTTTGAGGATCCAAAGATACAATCCTGCAATGGTCAAATAATGAATACTGGCTCATATTACTGCGCGCTCCCTGTTCGTCAATTGTATCGTGGCAAGGGGACACACAACCCTGTCTAGCCGTGTCGTGAGACATGGGTCGCAGATATTGAAGATCAGAATAAAAATGCAGGTAGGTATGCGAAAGTAAAGCATGCGACTCAAGAGAAGGAAAGGAAGTGAAGGAAAGGATATGGCCATTTTCGTAGTCAACCATAGACCTACCTGACCTCGGAAGTTATACATCACGCTCCGTTGGTCATGGATTCGCCAGTGCCATCAACGAGACCGGTTTCTTCGGTCTTCATATTGGAATTTGTGGCCGGGTCACCAGTAGCTTGGTCGCCTTCACCATCGGGTTGGAAGTTGGGCATTTCGATGGCCACCCCAATGTTCTTCTTGGCCTTCTTCTTACTTGGCTCTGCGCCGCCAGATTTGGATGCCATCGCTTGAGCGGCTCGTTTATGCGGACTGGATGTAAGGCCCAGGTGACTAGACATGGGGATTTTGCCAGAGGCTGGGAGACGGGGTTTGATCCCCATGGGTCGCTGCTTGGGGGGGAGCTCTAGGTCCTCCACAAGAGGTTCATCACCGTTTGCGTCAAGCTTGCCCTTGAAGAACTCATGCAGGAGTCCAATTTGGTGAGAAAAGTTGTCTGTTGAGATGCGTCCATATGGGGGTGGAGGAGCGAAAAGAGTAACGGTCGGTGAAACACTCGTGTTTTGCGGATTGGCCGCATTGAACATCCGGTTTTGAAGCAAATGCAAGGGTACACTAAGAGTGGAGAGGCCAAACTCCCGATCCAAGCCCAGTTCCTTGAAACCGAAGAAATCTTCATCAATATCTTCAGCGAAGTCACCACCGACGAACTGTTCACTGCCATCGGCAAATGCGTTTGAGCCATCTTCGCCGCCCTCAAGAGCGGGTCGAAGGAGTTCTGTCAGGAGTGACCTGAGTCGATCATGAGCAGTGGCGAGCTTGCTTCCTAGACGATCTACATCGTCCTTGATATATGACTCTAGTTCATCTATATGAATCCCCACGGTAGACAAGGTGTGCAGAACAATTTCGGAACGAGTGTAAGCAGGTTTCCATTCAGCGGCTGAAGGCGTAGCTTCATGTGACTCGGTGGTAGGAACCTTTGGTGTTTCCATATAAGACTTGAAGGTGGACCCCAGCTTATGGAAAAAGTCAGCGGCAATATCGGTAACCGCCTCAAGAGCAGATGGCTGGTATTCCTCAAAGCCAGTGTGATAGAAAACTTTAGCGACCGAGCGCTGCAATGCTGCCCTACAGACCCAGGGGGCAATGACAGGGCCGTTGTCATTCATGACATGTGGTTCGATATCTTGCTCGAGAAATGGCTCAGGCTGATATTTTTGGAATTGATTTTGGTACATCTAGAAAAGAAGTTAGCAGAGAGCTGGGGTCATAGTAGAGTATGGGGCTCGCTTACCTGAGATTGAAGCTGCATCTGCTTGACGATGCCAATCTTCGAGCAGATCTTGCGAGTTTCTTGCATCTGCCGCATATTCGAGTTCATCTTGCGGGTCAACTTGCTATCGGGTTGGATGAATTGACCTGTTGGAAGCATCCGAAGGAACTCTTCAGAGGCATCAACAACATTGCCTTGCGCGTCCTCCTTCCAGAGTAGCCGGTCAGGAAGATCAGGAACACCAGACATGACATCATAATAATAAGGCAGCATCTGATCCTCTTCCACCTCAATACCTTCTGCGAGGCTCTCGCCTGCGGCCTCGAGTTCCATGGCTTGAGAATCCCCATCGCGAGACTTGTCTGTTTCGATAGTAGCTTGTTTCTGATGTCGAAGCCACCGGCGCATGCCAGCTTTACTTCTGAGTAAAGCGGGTTCTTCGGAGTTAAGCTTGTCCCCCCGGAGGAGACGATGTCGTTCCGCCGCAACGCGCGCTCTGTCTCTCTTGGTGACTTGCTTCCACACTTTGTACTCGGGGTCTTCCGGTTCAACGCCACCGGAAACTGACATGGCACTGAGCGCAGTTGTCGACATACTTGGACCGTCGATGTCCATCGAATCATCCTGGCTCGTTGTAGCTATCGCCCCTAGACCAGCGGGGTCAGACGAAGTGTTAGATGCAGGAGGTGGTGTGAAAAATCCATTTTGACTAGCTTCACCGGTAGCGTCCGAATCTGCGCGAGCTGGCGCAGTTGGCTGAGTGCTTGGAGCCCTGGAAGGACTGGGAGTATTACGAGAAGGGGCTGTTCCTTTCTTGGAAGACTTCTTGCCGGGTGCCTTTCTACCTCGCGAAGACATGATGGGTTCATCGTCACTCTCCTCAGCGCCGTCGTTGTCGGCCAGCTGGAGTCGACGTTCTTCGGCCTCAACTTCGGCACGATCTCGGATGACAATATCTGGAATGAGAGGGACAAGCTTCTCGGTCTCCTTCCGCATGTAAAGGGCGTGCTTCCGTAGAGGATGTTCGGTGTTGGTGTTGTATTTCAGGCAATTCGCCCAAATGAGGGTGAGGTCATCAGCGAAGTCTTGTTTGGACCTATACTGCAAGCCTTTCAGCTTTTTGGTCATTGATCCAAGATCCATCGGGTGCTTGATGACTAGTAAAAAGTTAGTAGATGAAATAAATCATTGCGGTGAAAGGGCCGCTTACTCGTATGATAGTCCGGCGCATCGCGTTTGTTAACACGAGTCAAAAAAGCAGTTGAATGTTCTGTCATAGCTTTGAGCTCACTAAGAACCTTTTCCGCAGCTTCATAGAGCTCTTCCTGGCCGACCTTGTCTTCGTTTGCCCATTTGCTGCGATTCTTGCGAACTTCACTCAGCAAGCTCCGCAACTCAGCATCGGATGCCTGCACCCGGTCTCGCTTCTTGTCAATTCGTGCGATAAGGTTCTTCAGAGTCAAACTGGAAGCGCCGAGGTTGGTGTTACTCAAGGAACTGTAGCCATTGGAAGCCCCCGAGACATTGTTGGCACCCATGTTAGCCTGGCCGGATATCTCTGCCTCGACTTGTCTTTCTGACTCTTCCAATCGTTGTTGATCAAGCATGGCATCCCTATCATTCTCAAGGGTGTAGAATAGAGTGTGGAAACTCCTTCTGGCAGCCTCCTCCGTTGCTTTTTTGTCTTCCTCGAGTTGTTTCCGGAGATCCTCCATTGTCTCTTTCTTGGGTTCTTTAAGCCCATCCGCAATGGCGGATATCGAGGTACTGGGACGACGTGCTAATGGCGCGGCACCACTAGGCTCCTGAGATGCAGCGGCGGACTTGGTTTCCAGAGGTGATTCAACAGCATTGTCCATTTCCTCATCTTCGTCATCATCATCGTCATAGTCATCGTAATCATCGTCGTCGAGTTTTCGGGCAGACTTCCGTGGGGCGGTGGAAGGGGGAGGCGCATTATCGACGCGTTCGGGTTGGGCTTCGGACGACTCAGTAGCTTCCCCAGCCGCAGGGTTATCGCCCGAATATCGTCCAGAAAACAGCGCATTTATTTTCGCCTCACTGCGGCGATACAATTCTCGGAATTGAGCAATGCGCGGATCCTCCTCGGGCGCGATATCGGCTTCGGATATCGAACTGGGGTTCGGCGCTTCGGCGCCAACAGAGCCGCGTATTTGGGGTGTCCGGGAGCCAGATAAAGTCTTTACCAAGCCATTGACTGGGCGGGGAGACTCCTGGAGATCATCTGGGGGCCGAATGTTGCCCGGAGGCCAGGCGTTGTGGCCGAGCGACATGCTCGCTCCAAAACCCCGTTTCTGGGGCGGGCGAGACTCGATTCTCCGCGATTAGGATTACGGGCCGATCGGACGCGACACAGGGGTCGGAGAAGGGACAAAAGGCATAGAGATAGAAAACGCCGCCGGTACAATCGACCCAAGATGTCAAAATGGCAAAAAATGATAGCGTGGCGGAGAGGTTTGATGAACAAGGTCCGGGGGAGCTTCATAGGGAAGTTTCTCTGGACGGGGATGAAGTACAGGACATGAAGGCGGAGTCAACCGGCAGATCTTGTCTCATTGTTACTATTCCGACTCGCGATCAATCGCTATTGTTCACATCTTGAGCTGTTTCAATCTATCATTCCTCATTGGTCTTGTGTTGAGTTTACCGTGGATTCTGTGTTTCTGTATAAGCTTTCGCCTCTGCTTTGTTGTTGAACGTCCCCAGTGCTCCGCATATGACGCACAAGGCATCAGCTGCGGCCAAACTCCTCCACATTTGACGGCTTTCTCAACTAAGACTGGACAATCACCTTCACCAGAAAAAGAGACCCAGCCAAATCTGCTTCTCACTTCTCCGTCACTTACTTATTACTCGACCACCATGCGCATTCGATACCCTTTCGCAGGTAAGCTTTACTGACTTACCATTCTGGTTCCGGCGATCACCTAACTAACCGCTTCAGGTGCCTTCATCTTCCTGCTTTTCTTAGCCGGCTACATCGGTCTTCTTCCACACAGCACATCTTCGACGATACCAACAAAGCTTCAACCCAATGACAAGTTCCTCCACCTTGTCACCTTTTTCCTACTTTCCGTAACGTTTTACTGGGTCCTGGACACTACCCGTCGGCGCACGCTACACGTGACCCTCGTGGTCTGCACATTAGGGCTGGGTGTTGGCTCTGAAGTTGTGCAGGGTTTCCTTCCAAATGGTCGAGACTTTGATATATTCGATATTGTCGCCAATGTTGTCGGTAGTGTCGGCGCCATCGGAATTTGCAATTGGTACCACCGGCGCATGATGGAACGCCGCCGACAAAGCCGGTATGGGCTCACCGAGGAGGGCACCGAGGACGTCGAGCTCGGTGGCGTCTCCGGGGACCCCCGTCGCGACTCAGAAGTGATGGGCCCACAGGAATCCGGTGTTATGAGCCTTGAGCAGGAAGTCGATAATTGGGACGAGAATGCAGTTGAGAATTGGGATACGGAAGAAGCGCCGGGTTCCGAGCGAGTGGCTGCTCCTCCCAGTTATCATGAGGCTGGCTCTGTCGGTGGTCAGTCGGTCGCAATCCCTGCTGCGGCAAAACGCATTGATTGAAGATACTTCTACCGGAGCGAGGCGTGTACTTTGTGCTTCGGAAAGGAGTATATATGCGCTGTATTCTGATCTTGTTTCGCTATACTCCCTGTTCTTATGATGATGGATTTCATGTCTTCTTCTCACGTCGGTATGATACCAATCTCGATATTTGTGCTCAGCAGTGCTGCGATTTTGTTTTATTGTTCTATTTATTGTTATATTATGCCGTGATGGGATGGATGATCTTCTATGGGCAAGCACATGGTCGGTGATATGCGAAGGGTGCAAAGAATTTCTAATTATTTCCAAAGGATTGTATAGTTGTGGATTTACTAGGAATTCGTGCGAGGTGCTACATAGCCTTAACAATGCCAATAACGAATCTGATCCCGAAAAACCTATGATGGAAATGTTTACTCGGCGAAAGTAGAATGTCTCAGAGCAGTCGGCAAAGCATACACTTTCACCAATTGGCTAATATACAGTGACCCTAGGGCGAGACTGACAGTGCTACTCAATAAGCAGTATAACTACATCCAAGATAATGATCAAAGTAACAAAACGGGGGTATTTCAACAAAAAGAAAAAAAATACATAGCAGGGGGTTTGGAACAAGGCATAATTCAGAACCAAGTAAACACCGGATGCCATGAATGAATGCAACATAAACATAAACCTCTCGTCCATAGTCCATGCTCACAGTTAGGAAGAACGGTGGAGATTGAGCGGGCGTCATTAATTATCGGGATCAGAAAGCTCCGGTGTGGCGGACCGACTTCTGGTCGGCGTATGAGTATGGACAGCTTCCAACTCCGGCTTGGAGGTTGGCAGGTAATCTGTCTGGTCATTGAGCTTGGCCATTTTCGCAGACCGTTCTTCGCTGCCGTCGGGTGATTCTGTGTTCCAGTCTGTAATCTTGCCCAGCTTCCGATCTGTTTGTTCTCGGAGGACTTCGTAGATAAACTGCATCTGCATCTCGTTGTAGACCATCATCATCCGCTGCTGCCGCATCTGATCGACAGTGTCGAAAACAGGGTCGGCATCTGGATGTTCCATATCCAACAGATGCCCTGCCTCTAACTCGCACAGCAAATGGTCAAGCGCGATAAAAGTTCCAGTCCGACCAACTCCTGCGCTGCAATGCACGATTCGCGGGTTATCCGGGCCCGATTTTGAGGCTGACAACTTGATCAAGTTAAGAAGGGCTTGGCGATCACTGCCTTCGGGTTTGGAGTAATCGGCCCAGCCAGCGAAAAGGAAATGCCAGACAATCTTTGACTCCGAACCGATGGCCAATTCGAGTTTACGGATTTCAGATCGTGATTTAGCGTCGAAGGTTGATTCTAACAAGGTAACCTTACCCAAGATACCGGGTTCTGTCTGCTCACTCTCATCGAAGAGAACGTCCGACTCATCCGCCAATAGTACCATCGAAGCCTGCTCCGTATCCAATGGGAAGTATTGAGCGCACTTTTCCCGGCCGGCCTCAAAAGTTTGAGTAAGCATCACAATAACGCCGACATCCTGGCTTTCATGGAAGACCATGTGCCAGAAGGCCGCGAGATGTCCAAGTTTGGGGCCCTGATTAATGGTAAGTGAACCATAAAATATTTACGACAAACACGCAACCTACCTGGGTCGCTATGTATTTCCTTCTTTCTCGTGTCACCGTGTCTTCCAGGATGATCGGAGACGCGTTGATAAAATCACACTCGCCCTCGGCCACCCGCAGATGGATCCGACAATTTGCCCAGGCCTGGACATTAATATACCGGTTCCTCTCTTTCACCTTCGGGTCTGCCTCTATAGCCCAAGGATGCAAGACATCATTGGACAGTGTACCCTCGGTGAAACGTGAGGTCTGTATCCATTCCAGATCTTCAAACTTGTCATGGATCTCTGCATAAGGAAGCGGTCAGTCACATTCCACGTGCAGTATTCTCCGATAGACGTTGATGCACCCCTCACTCACCCGAGACAGATTGACATAGAAACGGTGGAACATCCTCGGTATTTCCAGCTTCCAGCTTGGGGTTGTCCTGATTCGCACCGAGTATATCGAGGCCCGCGTCGTCATTCTCGGGTAGCCCGCGCTTGGTCGCCTGGACGCTGGTGTCGATCTTAATAGTCGGATGCGCCATTTTAGCGGCAGCGATACGCTGGAATGCCCGGACTTTACCGATGACACCGCGCGCTGTCCTCGAGACTGCTTTGGCTTTGGAGCGTTTCTTGTGTGGGGCAGACTCGAAGGAAGGACAGCGCGAAGGAGACGGGTCGGTTCTCACGTCGCTGCCAAAATCTGCAGACACTGACGTTATCTGCAGTGATGACAGATCGGGACAGCTATAGAAGCTGTCCCGAGAAGACGTGTCCAGGGCCAGATTTTTGGAGGGGATCGCGGGGGTTGGGCGTCGAGGAAGTGGAACAGAGCGTCGCAATAAAAGTAGCGTTCGTATAGGGTGTCAGACCGTATACTCCCGAGTCCACCTGATTGATTTTTCGAACCAAAAAGCAACTCAAAAGCACCGAAGAAGGCCGGAGAAGAAGCTGAGGGGATTTGAACGAAAAGAAAGAGAAGAGAGGCAAAAAAAGGCCAGACTGGAGACGGGCTAAAAGGGGAGAAAGTGGAGGAGGCAAAGAAGAAATGAAAAGCCCCGATGTTACTTAGTAGGTAGTAGTATTTTATAATAGCATGTCTGATGTAGTATTCATATCAAAGTAACATAAATATGAAGCTATAACGAGAAACTATTTATGTTTTCATCGTCTTCTGCTATAACTTGTCGCATTGGTAATTGGCCCTCTGCCTATCGAATTCAGCTGCTTGCGGCAGCGCACATCCATAGATCTGCTATTAATATTTTAGTTTCGTGTTTATTTAGTTGTAACTGGATTGTGATAGAAACGGGGACCTTTGCAGGATCTATTTTATCTATCTCACTCCTTAAATAACAGTGTATGACTTTGTTAGTCCTTCTATACTCTTTTTACTTCTTTTGGCGGCGGGGAAAGCCTTTGGAACTACTCCGTTCTCTTCCTTAACCTCTACCTCTAACTATCTCTTTCCTTTATTCTTCTCTCTTTATTTATTCCCTGTTATACAATAATCGACAGTCTCCAATTTTCATCCTCGGCCTCGGATGACGCTCTCTTATGCTGATAGGTGTTGAGCACCCCCGGTTCGCATATGTCAACAAATCCCCAGAAATGGTGTCCCAAGCACAGATCGTTGATCGCACAACCGCCCAAAGTACGGCTTCCCTAATATCGCGTCCCTCAAACAGACGACACCGTTCCGGTCGCTCGCACCATGGCAGCTCCTCGCATCCATCCTCGAACGATTTCCCCATCTTCACGTACACAGGTGACACCGAGGTCGTGATCCGCGCCGGATCGCAGGAAAGGCGCTATCTCCTCCACAAATTAATATTATCACAATGTTCGGGTTTCTTCGAGGCGAGCACTAATGAAAACTGGTCGCGGCAAATGGCTCTGTGTCCATCCAAGCCGGAGGGGACGCTGTCGCGACTGAGTGAGGATGATGATTTCTCGAACGGGTCAACACTGGCACCATCTGATAACGGTGGACTCTCGACGCGACCAGGAGGAAAGAGACGCTGGCGGTATGAACTTGACTGGGAGAATCGCGCAGAGGATGAAGAGGCAATCCTTGTCCAAAAGGTACACCTTGCGCCGGCGCGTCGCATACTCCCATCTGCGAACAATGCTAATGCCGCGTGCTGAAACAGCAACCAACCTATGACCCCATGTTCAGTGGCGACCAAACTGCATTTCCCCCAACTATGACCAAGCCGTCAAACGCCCAGGCAGGCTTCTTTCGATCCATGGCGAACCTGGCAGGGATGCAGTCGGTAGCGCACCTGCCGCAGAATGGAGAGCACGCCGTTGCGGTCGATCCCTTAATACGTGACTATGACAATTTACTACGAATATTCTACAATCACCCGCCCATTATCAACAGTGTCAATATCGCCTCGGCATATACGGAGTGCAAATCCCTCCTTGCATTGGCGGATATGTATGACGCGCTTCCGGTGACAGGGTCCCGCGTGGACCACCACTTACTCGGTTTTGGATCTCGTCTGTTCAAACAGATCGCCAAATATCCACCCAGCTACCTGAAGCTGGGATATCTCGCCCGCAGCCGGGTGATTTTTTCCGAAGCCTTGATCCACGTTGTCGGCCAGTGGCCCGCTGCCCTACCGAGTTTGCGAAACGGCTCCTACGCGCCTCTACCAGACTCACTCCTAGACCTGATCGAAGACAAAGTAGAAGATCTCGACGAGCTTAAAGCTCGCGTTGAATCCAAGCTCCTACGCCTATCCCTAACCACCTCGCGTGGTGAACGTGTCGGTCCCTCAAACGCATACCTGGACTGGCTCGCCGTGTGTTTATTCCGCCAATGGCTGATAGAAAGCACTACGCCACCGCCAGCTCCCATCCTTAAAAACACGGGCCCAAGCGATGGTCCCGTTCAACCTACCGCATCAGCGTCACACCCGACAAGCCCGTCTCGACCAACAACCTCCCCAGACCCGTCCGCGCGCATCTATAGATTGATCGGCTCCTCTTCCACGCAGGCATACCTGCCCCATGAAGAGCTAAAGCGCTTTCTCAAGCTCCATCCTACATCATCCTCTGGCTCGCTTTACACGCGCGAGACTCTCAAGCGCTTCGAGCGCAAGATGGACGAGATGAAACGGCTGGCACGCGATATCGTCAAGCCGCTGATGCGAAATTTTCTCGAATTGGAGCTGAAAAGCCCAGATCAACCAACCACTGGCACCGCTGGTCCTCGTGAGAATACTCCGACAGGATTGCCGTATCTGACATGCACCCGTGTCGAAGATATAGATCTACCATGGAAATGAGCCTGGCAACTTCTTGGGATCTGTTTATTTGCCTTACAAATTGCGCTAATTATCATCTCTTTGGATATTCTGCTCTACTTGGAGTTTTTGAGGGCGTTTTATTTCTTTTTGTTTATTTTATCTGCACCTTGACTTCTCAGGCTGCTGGTATTGTCTGACGAAAGAGACCAGATTGTACCCCTGTCTCTGTGCCCTGTCTCTGTGATTTCGCAATGATGTGATGTTTACTTGATTTATGTTGTTTCCTTGTTTCTGATATGTGTTCACGAAGTCATGAGTTGCTCTACCCTGCTTTGGTCTGTTCTGTTTTTATTAATCCTGTGCTCTATCCCCAACAAGGCAGGCGTTGGAGGTCTTTGAAGACCTCATTTTTGTGTCTACTATGTTTTTAGATATACCAAAAGATCACAGTTAATACAATGCAAGATCCATGAAGATAACCACGTATCCTTATATTAAAGAGAGCGGAATGAAATAAATATATGTCCACCATTTTCATAAAAAATACATAATATACAGTGTCTCTACGAGAGCGAGATCAATTCCTCAGCTTAGCTCCGACCAATACTCTCCATCCCATCCATCCAAGGCCGCAGAACCTCAGGAATAACAACAACACCCCGCTCAGCATCCCACCCATTCTCCAAGATCGCAGCCAACACACGCGGAACAGCCATAGCAGTCCCATTAACGGTGTGCGGGAACCTTGACTCCTTAGCGCCACTGCCACGCACCCGAGTCGCCAACCGACGACTCTGGTAATCCGTGCAAATAGAAGCAGAGGTAACCTCACCCCAAGCCGACTCCAGATGATGAATCTTAGGATCCACTGGTGTAGCAGTACCACCCGACGCCGCGCGCAGACGAGACGGGAAGAGCGCCTCGATATCCTGCTTGCGCGTCGCGCTGGCCCCCAAATCCCCAGTTGGCATCTCCAGCACGCGACAGGGCAGATGCAGCGCCGTCAGGATCTCCTTCTGCATATCCAGCAGCTCGTTGAACATACCCTCCGAGCTCGGGACGGCTCCGTCCACGCTATCCGCCCAGCCGAACAGCTCGACCTTGGTGAACTCGTGCACGCGGTACAGGCCCTTCGTGTCGACACCCCGGGAGCCCGCCTCCGCGCGGTAGCAGCGGCTCGCGCCGACGAGTCTGATCGGTAGCTCGGAGGGGTTGAAGTCGCGGCCGGCGTACATGGCAGCTAGGGGGATCTCGGCCGTGCCGGTGAGCGAGCGTTGGGGCTTGGTGTTTCTGTCGCGTTCGTTCTGTTCGATGGACCAGATCTGCTGCTCGTTGTGCTGGTCGCGTGGCTGGAACCCGCATGCTTCGGCGATGTAGCAGTAGACGATCGAGGGCGGTGCGACGGTTTTCCAGCCTCGGCGTCGGGCTGTGCTCAAGGCGTACTGGACGAGTGCTTGTTCCAGCATTGCGCCTTCGTTTATCAGGAAGTACCAGCCCCACCCTGTTGTTGTGGCTGAGCTGGCGAAGTCGAGGAGGTTGAGCTCTGTGCCGATTGTGACGTGCGACCGGGCTTGGAGCTCGGTTTGGGATAGGCTGGTCCAGGCGGGGGGCTCTTCCGGGTTAAAGTTGATGTATTGTACGAGAGTTGGGTCGTGTCCGATGGGTGTGAATGGGGAGGAGAGGTTTGGGAGGGAGAGGGCTAGTCGGTTGATCTCTTCGGTGCAGGTTGTTTTGCGTTCGGTCATGGACTGCGAATCGTCTTTTAGGCGCTGAGCTTCTGACTTGAGTGCAGCCAGCTCCTCGCTTGGACTCAGGCCCTTCTCATTGGGTTTCCCATCTGTTTCTTGCCGAGTCGCAATGTGTAGCTTGGCGATGGTCTTTTCTAGTTGCTTGATACGGGATCGAGGGGTCTTCAGGTCGTAATCAAGCTGTTTAGCCTCCTCCGATAATTGCTCAATCTTCGACGGATACCCGGCGTGACCTGCATAGTTGCGATCTACGCAGTTCTGTGCGTAGAGGTCGGCATTTTGGCGGATGTGTTTGACGTCCGGCGTCGGCTTCGGAGCTGTCCCGGGTCGCAAGATGTCTCGATTGCGTCGGGCGGAGGAAAAATTACGCAGCGATGCTTTCAATCCATATGAATGCCTGCAATTGAAGCAGACGTATGAAGTGAGTGCCATTGGAGTTGGGAAGGAAGAAGAGAAGAGAACGGGCAATGTGTAGTGGTGGATCTCCCGCCTTAACCCTTTTGGGAGGATCTGCATGTTTTTTACAACGTATGACAAAATATCCAGAGTATCATCAATGAGGTTTAATTTGAAGTCAGTATCTTGTCTACATACATGTGGGAATATCACGAAAATGTATGACAGATGCAACGAGACATCACCCTCATCAACGAAGAGCCAAAGGAAGCCCCGAGTGGCAGTCTGAATTAAACACTGCCTATCAGGCTTGAGATGAGCATACCTGAGAAGATTCGTTTGCAAATGTTTGTGTTCGGTTCTCATTCATGCCACACTGCAACGAGTATGATCATGCGAGATTTGGATACTCACATGAATCTGGTCCACGGCTATAGACGATCTACATACCCGGCTGCCCCAGGCTGGTGCTCCATTTGCATCGGAAACTTCATACATTCGCTTCATAAATAGTCTGCAGTACTCTCAGATCCCGTCTCAATCCCGATCTTACAGCCCCAATTTATGCTTCTTAATCCTCGCACCGACTCCAGCGAGGATAAAAATGGCAGCAACCACGACACCCCAAAGAGGAATATGAATCGCCATCAAGTTGTAGGTGGTCTGCGTCGCCGCCACGATAGTCGCCATCTCCAGCAGTAGCAAAACATAACCGCTCCAGCGATGGTACTTATAAATGCGCTTCCCGGCGTCCACACTACCGAGTACGGTAACGGGCGCAAAGTACTGGATGACACCGACCACGGCTTGGAGCACGATAGCGATGTAAGTGACTAGACCCAGAATACCGTGAGGAGAAACAAAGTGCGGATGAGAGCCCTTGTTCACCTCGATAATAACAAAAGCAGATACAAAAAGCACCACGCTGAGCAGTTGAAAGGAGTAGTGGATGCGAGTACCCGTACGCTTTTGTTGCGGGGTGGCGGTTGGTTGCAAAATCAGAGCTGCTTGGACTTGAAGAAGAAGGGCAGAGCTGCCGAGTAGCTGAATGTCTTCCAGTCAATGTCTTTGGGATATTTTGTTCGGCGACATGGATACTTACTGGATGCGGGGTGAACAGCGAGAGGGGTTGGGCTAAGACACCTTGCCAGACCAACGCGGCTAGCTGTATTGTTCATTAGTTCTCTGATCTTTTCGAATAGGTCATAATGCTCTTACAATCCAAATCCCTGCTTGCGCAACACTTGCTGTTCCTGATTTTGGAGTCAGTCGTGGGTTTCGATCGAAAGCTTTCACGCTCACCTGTGAAAAGGTTCCGATAAATGGCCTCCTCGGCCTTTTGTGTGACATCGCCTGGACGGCCCAATAGAGGCTCATCCTCTCGCGATTCAATTGTCACTGGGTGAGCTTGAGGGATTCCTGTTGCCGAGGCCATGGCAGTTATAGAAGATGCTCATAAGAAAAGGCGAAAAGATTACACAAAGAAAGGGATTGAGGGCGGTGGCCAATGATCCTTGCGTTTATTGCGTTTTTTCAGCTCAATGTTCTCTACAAATCACAAATTGGCGTGATCGTCACTTTCGATGACGTTTGAGATAGGGTCCGCATATCTCCGGGAGCTGAAAACGCCAGTGAGAGGGATTCCATTGCAAAGCTGATTCGGCAAAAGAAATATCTAGGCTTGGCCTATATTACAAATCTCATAAGTACGCCATTTTACTATGATACTACATATACCATTATCGGCAACGAATTCCAACTGAATCACTTCATTGATCTAAATACAATCAACACATAGGCTCGGGCGATGGGGCACCACTTCGATCCCCTCGATCTGGCATAATCCTGTATTGAATATCCGCGGGGACACAAAAGTCCAAAAATATCATCATACTCTCGATTTCATTGGCAACTTTTCGGGTGCTGTTCCGGTCCTTGACAAGAGTATCCCTGAAATACTGCACCCGTTCATAGAGCCTGTTACATTTGACTGTCCAACTAGAGTTATCATGGTCAAAATGAGCTTGTCCGGACATTCGCAGACCTTCGACTCGCAGAAGGAGAAGATTCAAAGACTTGATAACCATATGTCGGCTTCCCTTGTAGTTGTCCTTGAGAATGTCAATCTGAGCGTGCAGTGTGGTCATGAAGTAGCGGCGCTCTTCTTCGTACGTACCGTGGAAACTGCGACCGGACATGACTCTGGTAGGAACTAGATGGTATTGAATAGAGTGGATTATGAGGCTTACCTGGGCCTATGACCTTTGAGCCGATTGCCTGAAGAATGAGTAGCTGGTGGATGATGAGACATCTAAAGGTGGTATATGAGGCCTCTTTTATGGTTGAGTCCATGGTCAAAGAGAAACAATGTAACAAAGACTATCATCATATTCTTTGTATTCTAAACACAGATGAATATTGATATCTAATAAAAGGATTCCAGCACAAAGACTTGTCATCTTCTCTATGATCTAAGACACAGATACAAAGTCATATCCAGCGGTCTTTCATGATATTCATTCACCAAGGCATTGTCAACACAGGCCCTTCCTCTCCAGACCCAATCCGGCCAAAGACCACCTCTGCGCCGAGATTCCCCAGGTCCAAGTTCATAATAATGTTGAACAAAGTACTACTCCTATTTGAGATATGACGCGATGGGTCCTCCTGACAACATATTGACTGAGGCTGGTTATACGTATCAGAGAAGACATGTTCTCGCAACACAGCCGGGGTAATAGTGTCGCCCTGGACACCACCCTGTATTAACTCCTGCGTCAACTCTCCTAGCCGCTTGAGCCGGATAGGTGACCCGGACAGCCACGGTGGCTCATTCACATAGCGGTTCTCAAGGAAATGATTGGTATGGCCGATAATCCCCGATGCATCCTCGGAGATATGTTTGTCTCCAACTGGCGACAGCTCAAGCCCTAGGGCTTTGGTACTGTCTGCACAAAGAATATGCTGAGCAGAGGCGACACCACCCAGAGACTCGATGGTATTCACGGCGTTGTCGACAGAAGTACTTTCCAAACACAACCGAAGCGCAACGTGGATCGGGATCTTGCTGCTAATCATCGGTTTGGCGCGGATTGCATTGAGACAAGTTCCAACGCCGCTGGTATTGAATCCTATCTTGCCAACGATTCCTGCCTGAGAATAGTTAATTACATGTCAGAATATAGACCTATACAGGAATACTGACCTCGGTAACCATATAGATAGTGGGTTTTCCAACCTGCTCAATCGATACCATCGCTAGATTCTTCTTGACAGTCTGCGTCCAGTCCCAATTCTGCGCGAGCACTCGCGTCGCCTCGCTTTTCTTCCAGCTTAGTGCCGTGCAGCCATCGGAGAATCGTCCTAGCGCTATCTCGCTTCGGCAGTTCAGCGCAATTATGTCAAGCACATCTAACCCGGCGCCCTCTGCGATACCCTCCATCTCCGTAAACAGATCAGGCGTTAGGTTCTGAAGTGTGGGCTGAAATTCAGTTGCGACTTCGCGCACATCTTTCCAGGCTAGATTTGAGGTATGCTGGAACATGGCATCGTAGATAGATATCTGGCTGTGGATTTGGTCCCGTAACCCTCGGCCATGCTGTAGCCCGATCTAATTTAATTGAGTCAGTTGAGGTTCTTAGTTATCATATGCAGATGTTAATATTGGCAGAATTTACTTCTCGAGGAGATCCCTGGAGCTTCAGCTTGATTGGCTCATCTTTGGGCTGCATGTTGAGTATGCACAATGCAGGTAACTATACAGATAGTCAAAGTCAAGGCTATCAGGGCTATCTCCAGCTATTTAAGGGGAATATCAACAGCCGAGGCGGAGTTCCCCTCAGTTGGAGTAATTCGGGGTCTAGCTGATAAGGATCGCAATGACTTGCCCTAACTGGCTATAATTCGAGATTCCAACAAATAGAAGCTTTACGCGATGGTGTTATACAGGATGTTGGTGGTGACACAGTAATCTCCAGTCCACCCCGATGTATGACTTGTCTTACGATATATATCTATTGCCTATATAGGTGGTGGTGTTGCTGCGTTTACCGCAAATATATATCTGACAGACACTTCATTTATGTTAACTATTTGTCTGTCTCCCAATATTCTATGCGTCTTTAATCAGATGCTTGAACAACTTGTCCAGATAATAGGCAGACTGCTTGGGATACCGAGTCTTTTCTTCGGACTCGAAATCGATAAATGTAGAACCGAAGCGATCCGCATACCCAGCGGCCCATTCTGAAAGTATTAGCCAATTCCATATTCATGCGAAGAAACCAGCCACTACTTACCCCAGTTATCAGTGAATGTCCAGGCAAAGTAAGACCGGATATCAACTCCGTCTTCCTTCACAGCCCGCGCCAACGCATTGCCGACATAACCCTCGAAGAACTTGATGCGGAACTCGTCATTAAGAACCTCAGGCATGGGTGCAGTCTCACCCTTGGCGGTGGTACCGTTTTCAGTGACATAAATAGGCATCTGATAACGTTTATAGATCCAGTTCAACAACTTCCTGAATCCCCCGGGCGCGGCCCGCAGCCACGGGGTATCACTTTCCTCTCCACGAGACACACCTTGCTTATTCTCATCGCAGATTTCCACATTTCCCTTGTGGTCATTAATGTCAGGCGGAGATGTCGTATGCTTCACGAAGAAAGTCGTGTAGCTATTCATGCCATAAAAATCAGAGCTCCCAAACACAAGCTTCGATTCCTCCTCCGTGAACCTCGGTAACCGATCACCAAGCTGCGCCTGCATCGAGGCAGGATAATCACCCGTGCTGTACAACGGATCCGCAAACCAAGCGATCTCAAACTCGCGTGCACGCTCTGCAGCCTCTTGGTCGCGCGGGTCCTCTTCATCCCACGCCTCGGACCAATTGCCATGCAGGGTAATACCAATGCTTCCCTTCTGCTGGGGCTGGAACTCTTCCCGGTACAAGCGCACGACATGGCCGTGCGAGACGAGCTCAGTGTGCGCGACGGTGAACGGTTCGGTAGACGAATCGCCTTCGGTATTGCGCTCACGGAAGGACGATCTGCCCGGCGCGTGCACGCCCGCTGCATACCCGGCGAGGGTATAGACGCCCGGCTCGTTGTAGGTGATCCAGTGTTTGACGCGGTCGCCAAAGCGCTCGAAGCAGACGCGGGCATAGCGCATAAAGTCCGGCGTGTAGGCGTCCTGATTCAGCATGCCGCCGTACCGATCTTCCAAGGCCTGGGGGATATCCCAGTGGAATAAGGTTATGAAGGGGGTGATTCCATTGCGGAGGAGTTCGTCGATAAGATCGGAGTAGAATTTGATACCTTGCTCGTTGACGGGGTCGTCGCGGCCGCCGAGGGGGATGATACGGGGCCAGGATAGGGAGAAGCGGTAGGCGTTTACGCCGTAGGATTTCATGAGCGCTACATCTTCACGATAAAAATCGTAAGCTCGGACAGCGTCGTCGGCTGTGCTTCCATCTGCAATTTTGTCTGGCGTGTGGCCGAATGTATCCCATATGGACACGCCTTTGCCGTCCTTGTTCCAGGCGCCTTCTATTTGGGCTGCTGCTGTGGCGTAGCCACGGAAGAAGTCGGGTCGGAGCACGTCCTTAAGATCTTGCACTGAGTTCAAATCCATCTTGCTGTGTTGCCTATGTTAGGACTGGCGGAATTATGAACAAGTTGATAATTTATTTTCTTAGCTTAGAGCTCTCATCGAAGAGGCCCGCAAAAGAAGATCCGGATAAAGTGCTATTGTTCTCTTCAATTTACCCCGAGACTGGGAGATGCGGGTATTTGCTCCGTGACGGTTTAGGAAGTGCAGGGGTTAGACGAGGTGGGTATAGGCGACGGTGGGGAAGAGGCCAACACCTGGAGTACGGAAGTACCTTAAGATATTGAGGAATAAGCATGTCTTTTTCATATAATTGGCAATTGACATCTATTGATTGACACATCTATCATGTCTAGATCTTATGCTCACCACCACCAGTAATCTCTACTTGTAACTCATTGAAGTGAACAACTACAGTCTCTCCACGCTCCGAATATATAGTCACTTCACCTACAACACGGCCATTCTCGAAATTAAATTTCAACTCAAACCCACCGCGTGCCCGCACTCCCCGGATGGATCCAGTCCAGCCTCTCGGACACGCTGGAAGGATGCGAATTACCCCAGGCTCATGGGATTGGACCAGCATTTCGATAATGCCAGCCCCACCACCAAAGTTTCCATCAATCTGGAATGGAGGGTGGCTATCTAGTAGATTGGGCCAAGTAGACCGTGACAAAAGGAAGTCTAGATGCCCACTGCATTCTTCGGCTTCAAGTAAGCGTGCGTGCAGGTTGAGCAGCCACGCACGACTCCAGCCAGTATGGCCGCCACCATGTTCTGCGCGTCGACGTATAACTGCCCCGCACGCTTCTGCCAGCTGAGGGGTTCGTGAAGGTGTGATTGCATTCCCGGGGTATAGGGCCCATAGATGGGACGTGTGACGGTGTCCGGATTCGACCTCGGCATAGTCAGCGGCCCATTCCTGTAGATACCCTGCAGGGGAAATCTTCATTGGCGGAAGGCGGGACTTTGTAGCTTGGACTGATGGAAGAAGGGCATCCTCGAGACCAAGTCTCTTTGCGCATGATTCGAAGGCATCCAGAATAGCAGCAATGATTTGGATATCGATTGTTGATCCTTCGCACAATGTGCCCTTTTCCCCTTTGGAATCGTAGAATGAGTTTTCTGGAGAAGCAGACGGACTAGTGACAAGATATACGCCATTGGTGTCTTGGATCAGGAAGTCGAGGAGAAACTCCACGCACCCACGCAGGGTGGGAAACATCCGACGAAGGAACTCTTCATCGCATGTATATTGGAAATGGTCCCAAATGTGGTAGCAGAGCCACGCACCACCGAGCGGCCAGATACTTGCCGGCATCCATCGATCAACGGGAGCTGTATCGGCCCATATATCAGTGTTGGAATGGGCTGTCCATCCCCGACACCCGTACATGATCCGAGCTGTGGCTTTGCCAGGCTCAACCATGCGCTCTAGTAATTGAAACAGAGGAAGCTCACATTCCGAGAGGTTACACACATTCGCAGACCAGTAGTTCATTTGGAGATTGACATTAGTAGTGAACCTGGAGCCCCATGCCGGATGGAAGGATGGGTTCCAGATACCCTGGAGGTTTGCAGGAAGCGATTTGTGTACATCCCGACTACATGATATCAGGAGATAGCGATTATAGTTGTGATAGAGTGCTATGAGCCCTAGATCCCGACAATATTTCAGACGTTGGTCGGTTGGGACCTCAGGAGAGCTCGGCCCAAGTTGTAATCCCATTCGGTCGTACAAAGACTGGTAGTCGGAAACATGACGGGAGCGGAGATCCTCCAACGAGAGACCCAAGGCATTCTCTGCATCTTGCTTGGTTCTTTGATCAATGTCTTTGTGTCGAAATGTAGTCTGCGCCGCAATGACCAGCAGGGTATCACTAGAGTTTACAACCAGATTATTTCCAATCTTGGTAATTGTACTCTCATCACCATAGCAACGAACTGACACGACGCAGCACGCTCGATTACTGTTCCTGCCCCCAGGCGTGACATGCATGGTAATGGAGTCTCTGCTAGCACTGACATCGTCAAGCCACTCATTTGTTTCATATTCCAAGTCACTCATACGCGTCAAGCGAACGACGAACTCAGCCTTGCTCGACGAGCGCAATCTGATTGCAAGCACATCATCCGGGTAGCTGGCGAAGACTTCACGTTTGAAGCGAACACCTTGGTACTCATAGCCGACATGTGCTGTAGCACTTTCGAGATCCAGTGAGCGCCGATAGCCTGTAACACGGCTAGGATCATGTCCCAAATCCAAAAACAGGTTTCCCAGCGGCTCATAGTTCCGCTGGCTGATCGGGTTAGCGAAAAACGCCAGCTTGGCGATCTTTTCGGCTTCGACATGGTTTTCCGCACGTATAGCCTCTCTCAGGCGCGGCAAGTACTTGAGCGCGTCTTGTGGATTGCGATCTTGGGGTCCTCCATACCACACTGAATCCTCATTGAGCTGTAGCATTTCGGTGTCGGTGCGTCCATACACCATGGCGCCTAGGCGCCCATTCCCGACAGGCAGGGCGGAATTCCAGTCTTCCGCAGGCTGTTGGTACCATAGTTCGGACATGTTCAATGATTTTCAATGGGTCTGGTCTGGTCTGTGTTGGGTGGATGTATCAATATGGACTAGCTCTGGAGAACAAGACGGCAGTTCGGTCCGTCAGCCGCCACTTTTGAATAGAACATGCTGAAAGACGCTGAATAGGATAAGTCAAAAGAGCTAGGAGCTAGTGGAATAGTCAAGAAGCCGATACGACTTGCCAAGTGCAAAGGATTCGGGAAAACAAGCGCCGGATCTAACTCTTTCCCCGGCCGTTCCCCGGATTTCAGGCTAAATGTCTCCCCCAGATTATCATCGTCCTTGTGATCTGCGGTCGATGCGACCACTCCAGACTAACATTGCGAAAATGTTTAAGCGATACTCCTGCCAACTTGATGCTAGTCTCCCCCGCACTCGTGTCTCACTGGTGGGAAATCCCTAGGGTACATGGCGAGGAGAGGCTTTTCAGGAGTCGGCGTACAAAATGTACAACGTGACATCCATCACTCACCAATCACTATCTATTCTAGCAGTTACATCACGCCACAAGTTAATCTGGCGAAGCTCATGTCTTCTCCGTGGCGAAATAGGTCGCTTAGCAACATTATGGATGCCGACCATTACTTTGTCGCCCCTGGCTTCGCGATCGACTCGCCGAAGCAATAATACCCCGGCATATCCACAAACTTGGCTCGAATTTGATAGCTCAAGGGTTCTCAACCCCATACTGGGCCGATCATATCCATACTCTTTCAAGTTCCTTCAATCGAGTTCCCCAAAACGCAACAATGGCCTCAGATGCTGGCTATGCGGAGGCTAAGCTGGGCAAGGGCGAGAATCGGGAACATATTGAGGAGATTGTTCTGGCACGAGTGACAGAGGAGGACCTGTGGAAGCTGTCTGAGGATTCTCTGAGCCTCCGATCGTGGACCGGAGTCCGTCTGGGCCTCATCATGTTTATTCATGGTTGTAACCAAGCTGGCTTTGGTATCGACTGGGGTGTCATCAGCGGTATTAATGCTTTGGATCAATGGCACGGTTACTTCGGTTTTGGGAGCAGTGGTGGCACATATGGCTTGATCAATGCTCTGATGCAGATTGGTGTCGTCTGTGGAGCACCCTTTATGGGTTTGGCGGACGTGATCGGTCGTCGTGGAATCAATTTTACCGGAAATGCCATTGTCATCTTTGCATCTCTCATGCAAGGCCTCGCAACGAACCTGCCAATATTCATGGCCGGCCGATTCTTCATGGGCTTTGGCACTTCGCTCATGTCAAGCTCTCAGTATATTGGCGAGATCTCGCCTATTCACCTGCGTGGTGTTATGGTGGGCTTTTTTGGCGCATGCTTCCAGGTCGGTAGTCTTGCTATGCTTGGTGCCATGATTGGACTGACCGAGTTGCCTGGCAACAACTCCTGGCGTGTTCCTCTCATTCTTGAGGCTTTATTCCCCACTATTGTCTGTCTGGGAATATACCTTATAACTCCCGAGTCGCCCCGTTATTATATCTTGAGGGGCAATCGTCAGAAGGCCAAGGAAGTCATCGCCAAGTACCACACCACTAGCACCGACATACATGAGCCAATTGTCGACATTGTGGTGAGACAGATTGAGGAATCTCTCGAGAACGACCAGACGGGCTACAGGGCCGCCTGGGACTATCGGGTTTTCTTCACCAAGGCGGCCCGTTTCCGACTGCTGGTTTTGTTTTTATACTCGCTCTTCCAGCAATGGAATGGAGGTGGTATTATCACATACTATGTGGGTGTTTAGATCAGAGGCCACCTTAACTCAGTCACTAATACCTTTTTAGATGGTTCCTTCGTTACAACAACTCGGCATCAAGAGCGAGAAGCAGCTACTCGGTATCAACATCGGTACCACCGCAGTCTATTTCGTCTTTACGGCCGCTGGCGCGCTTATAGTCGATAAGTTCCGCAGACGAACCATGATCTTTGTGGGTCTTATCAGTATGATTGTTTTCCAAACGGCCACGACGATCACTTCGTGGCAGTACAGTCTCCATGCCACTACAGCAGCGGCTGCGCTCACCATTCTCTGGATTTTCCTATACCAGACCTTCTCAGCGACATTTGTTGCAACCATGCACAACCTGTACCCCATTGAAATTCTCTCTTTACCCCTTCGTGCCAAGGGAATGGGTCTTTACGGTCTTATTCAAGGAGGTGCCGGAGCCGCGCAGACTTACGGAATTGGTGTCGGTATCCAAAAAGTGGGGTATAAGATTTGGGTCGTCTACATCGTGTATAACTCGATCCAACTCGTCTTGTCGTGGTTATTCTTCCCAGAGACTAGCCGTTTGTCTCTGGAGGAGATCAACACGGTGTTTGAGACCCCGGGAGTCCACCCAGTGAAGATGTCGTTGGATATTCAGAAGGCCAAGAAAGTGAGAGTGGCGGCGAGCCGGAATGAGGAGGGCAGTGCTAATCGATAAACATTCAGTAGTAGGGAAGCCATTTTATTATTAAAGGGATAATATCTTTTGATGTGCCTTTCCCGTCTTTGTTCTAGCACCAAGCTCTCTGGATTTAGAGTGAAAATTTAGAGCTGGTCATCTTAAAATCAATCAATGACGAATCTAAACAAACTTCAGACCTCTCTCAATATTACACATAGATCAAGACAAAGGCACCAATGTGGAACAGTTGAAACGCGTCGGACCCGATATAATCCTGTGCCTACCCGTCGGAGGGGCGCTTGTTCCGTTACACAATTTCCGCCCTCTATCGTCTCAAACGTACATGAGACACCAGAAACATGAGCTTTGAAATGCTTTGTATCCTTACCGACTCCCAAAAGGATAGTGTTGGCTTCAATGTCCGTGGTGTAGATCTACAATTGGTTGATATCAGATGATCTCACGAGCCCTAAGTGCCCAGACCTTTCTCGGTCTGGCCCATTTCCCGTTGGGATACCTCACGGAATACTTTTCTTTTCTCCGAGATGCATCGCCACCAGTCCAGAATGCAATCACGGCCCATAGGTCCCCTAAATTTCAGCCTGCAGCGTTGTACAAACAAATCAGGTACCGAGTTATGACCCTTTTGCACTCCGTCCCTTTTTTAGCCCATTCTAGAAGGGAGGCTATCCTGATCAATGGGTTCAGCCTTCAAATAATATCATGTGCTTTGTTAAGAAAATAAAATAAATGGTCAACGGGCTTCCTGCGGTCTCAAGTGTCACAAATGAGCCGGTGTGGGTGCTCTGCAGCCCTAATATGGTTATCCTTGGAAGAATTGGATGGTGACGCAAGCCAGAAAAGGGACAAAAGAGACTACGTGGCTGAAGAATATAGTTCAACGGGTTCATGGGGCCTTGCATTTTTCTTTTTTATCCTTTGTACTGAAGATGTATGTATGTCTCTGATTGTAGAGTAGAAAAGCCAATGGTGCTTGCGAATTGCTAATTATTTATAGTCTGGGCCAAACACTGCATTGATACCAATGACCTCGAGGGGGTTTCTCTTCCCATCTTCTCTACATTGAAACCCGAACAATGGTCCATATTGAGATCTTCTGAAAGATAATGGAGGAGAGAGACGACAGGGTGGAAATGACGGGCAGGCTACATCAACTCTATTCCGCGTGTAATCCGGTTGCTTGCCTCTAATTGACCCTCGTGGCATCGGTATAGAAGCGGTAGGCTTTTTCGATTGTCTCTCAGCTGAAAAGATCCGGGTCGGATTGTTTGGTACAAACAGCCACCTATCATATAGCCATTGGGCCATCAAAGAACATGTAAATGTACGGAGTACAACTGAAAAAGACACGGATGTCTTCCAATCTACAGATCCTGATACACAGAGATGTGCGCACGGCCATACGGACCGAGACGGGACTGCATCTGCCGATTGATGCTCGACCGTTCTAGCAAAATTCCTAAAGTCATGCACGATTCAAACATGGTGTTACCATGGCTCCTGCACCCAACGCTCCAGGTAAGGCGGCAACTTAGATCGATTGGCTCGGCTTCTCATCACGAGACAGATGGCACTGTTGCCAAAAGCAAACGGGTCATCGCCGCTCAACACGGGATGTGTAGGGCCTACTTCGAGTACGGTTTCAGAGGCACAAATAACCATTTTTGGCGTGAAGAAACCGTTGGGCTTGTTAGAAGTCTCTTATGTGTGTATGTGCATGTGTCCTTTGATCTCCTTCTCTTTCTGGGTTTGACCGTAGCCATGCCCCTTTTCTGCGCAGCGTTGGGGGAATTGAGTGTGATACATCCGTCATGTCGGGTATTGGAGGGTCCATGTTTCCTTTCGACAATGACGGTGAACACGACCTGGTCATGATATATTTGATCGAGATTTCTCTTGCATTTTCCCCTACAGCTCTTTAATTTGGAACCTTCCCTTTCGCCACTATATTTCTATGTTTGCTTCAGGTGTATTCTAGGCGTGACATCGCTCTTGAATCATTCGCTTTGTGTTTGGACAGATATACATACTTCGTTCCTTTGAACATAAAACCGTTGTCTTTACTTATCCAAACTCCCAACACATTCCATTACCAAAACACGGCTATAAAAGTAGTTTATCTGCTGCACCGACAATATTTCCCTCTTTCCCTTTTTCTCTCGTGGTCCAGTCCGAGATGCCTCCGAAGAGTACACAAGACAACATGGTGCCCGAGGCGAAAGGGATCAAGTACGACGAATGCGAAATGGCCCTCTTCCGCGCCAAATTGTCGTACCATGCCACGATTGACGAACGAATGGCTTCACAAAACTCAAACCTGACTTCGATCGCGGAAGCCCAGGCTCGAATCCTCAAGGGATGGGAAATACAGATGCAGGGCACAAAGGATTTGAGTGGCAAGAACGAAGGCCGTTCTGCAAGCGACAAAAGAGCAATGGCACAGTACGAGTGGAGATATACGGCCCTGGAGAATGCTGCAACGAAGACCACTGGGAAGGGATAGCGACAAAAATGTCTTTTCTTCTCTTCTTTTTCCTTTTCTTTTGCTGTTTGCGCCCATCATATTGAATGATACGAAGGCATTGCTGGCGTTGGTCTAGAAGCTTCATAGCTTATTTTGATGTGCTTGTGCTGAAATACTTTGTCAATTTTTAACTCTGATATCTGCTCTCATAGCCTGGGAATGACCTGGGTAATATTTCATGTTTCATAGCACGTGATCCGTCTTGCCTATTTGTGGGCTTTGTCTGAAGGCAATAAATTGATTACCTGATTTTAACCCTGAATCTCTGACTCGAGGGAGAATTCGTTGAGTGTCACACAAGTAGGTCGGTCAAGATTGCAACAGTAACGAAGTAAAATGACTCGGGTGTCCCCTTTGAACAAAGATGTTCGGGATATATGGGAATCGGTGGTAGCTGTGTCATTGTAGAACCCTGTACACGATGGCAGTTGACTTGATTCCCGTTCCTTTTGCTTCCGTCTGCTAATTTACAAGCAGGGCGGCTATTGTCCTATTGTCGTCGGTGACTGAGCACAGCAGAACCAATTGCAAGTCTCATTGGCCGAATTGTTGAATTCCGATGAACTCCGGGCTCTCTGTGCAGGTCGCGGAGGAAAGTTCTTTCAACTTCTCACTGCCACGGTAGACGCAGTAGGCGCAAATTGAACATCTTCCATTCCTCCGGTTTCTATGGATTCTGTGACTATAATTTCTAGTCAATGAGAGACTTCCATTCAGATAACGGCGCCCATCGGAGACCTCCGATATGGCGTTTGATGTAGTGGATCAACGATCGAACTCCGAAATCAACTCCGAAAGGTCTCAAACCGGAATTGGATCTGGACTTAGCGCCAAATATCGGTACTCCAACGGAATATCGAGAAAGATAGGCTCTGATTGGCTCTGATGAGACGAAGACCGAAGAGGAATGGAGACTATCGAGTAATGGAAATGCATTTCGAGGGGCAAGGCTCTTATCGATAACCCCCCACTCTGCTATTTAAGTATACACTCACCCTCGTCTTCGACTTCTCAATTAAACACCTCATTGAAACGCATAATCCATAAATCTCTACCCAAAATGCAGGTCGCCGCCGCCGATATCGACCAGGTGTTCGCACACACTACCAACTTGGCCTCGTGCAACCTAAACAGCAAGGTCCTGGCCTGCTCAAACGACTACTTCGCTTCAGTTGATAACCTCCTAACTCCCACTCCCGCCATCTCACGCCCCGGCGTCTTCATTCATACCGGTGCCTGGTACGATGGCTGGGAGACCCGCCGCCATAACCCGGATCCCTACGACTGGGCCGTGATCAAGCTGGGCGTTGCCGCAGCCTCTATCCACGGCGTCGAAGTAGACACCGCATTCTTCGTCGGCAACTACGGCGAGAAGGCCGAGCTACAAGCTACTTACGCACCGGAAGGTAGCGGCATTACAGATGCCCAGATTGCAGACCCCAGCTTCGCCGGCTGGAAGACACTACTACCCGCTTCACCTTGCGGTCCCTCCCAGCGCCGCGCATGGAAGTTATCCGACGAGATCAGCCAATCCCCCTACACCCACTTCCGTCTTCTGATGTACCCTGACGGTGGCTTCGCCCGTCTCCGCCTCTACGGCCACGCCATTCCCCCTCCCGCCCCGGCTGCCTCTGCCTCTGCCCCCGTTGAAGAGCTCTCGTCTGCTCTCAATGGCGGTGTGACTCTTGCTGCCTCCGACGAGCACTATACACCCTCATCTAACATTCTGCTTCCTGGTCGCGGCAAGGATATGGGTGACGGATGGGAGACTGCTCGCTCGCGCGCTGCTGGTCACGTCGATTGGGTTATTGCTAAGCTGGGCCTTCCTGGCTCGGTCTCCAAGGTTGTTGTTGACACCAAGGATTTCCGTGGAAACTTCCCTCGCGCTGTGCGCGTGCACGGTCTGGTTGCTGGCACTGCTGGTGAAGGTGTGCCCTCGGCTGATGATGCCAACTGGGTTGAGATCGTCAAGGGTGATAAGCGCTGCCAGGCAGACACCGAGCATGTCTTTGGGTCCGATGATCTCACTGCTGGTGGTGAGGATACTCGGGTGTTCAGCCACGTCAAGCTGACTCTTGTTCCTGATGGCGGTGTCAAGCGTTTCCGCGTCTTTGGTCGTCGCGCTTAGGCTTTTGTCTGATATCATGAGAATTATGTATATAGCTGATGTTCTACACGTAAATAATGCATTATGTTCAAATGTCCAATTCAGAATATGTATCGGATCATATCCAATGAAGTATGCCATTGACCATGATTATGAGCGGGAAACAAAGGTGCATGATTATCATAAAATAAAGTCCACAAGAAATACCAAAGGAGGAAATACCAATGCATTGAACGACGAGGCAAAAAACAAAAAGTCAAAGAGAGATAAACTCATCGACCCAAATGACGCCTAACTTCTATCTTTGCGAACTTGGGTATAAATTTAAAATGCATGGACTCATTTCTTTTCCAGTGACAACGGCTTCGGCTCATCTGAAGCCGAAGAGGAGTAACTGGTGGGTGTGCCGGCGCTGCCGTCAATACTTGCTTTTGAACGCTTTTCTCGGATAGCAAGACGAGACTTGGGATAGGATGGCGGCATTGGGGCGAGATACCTGTCCAATAATTCGCTCAAAATCGGCGAGCGGACCGGTTTAGGGAGATAATTGTTCATGCCAGCCTCTAGGCATTTCTCGCGATCGCCTTCGATGGCACTTGCAGTCATGGCGATGACTAGCACTTCATTTACATTTGGATCGGGATCCCGGCGCAGCTCGCGGGTCGCGTTATATCCGTCAAGAGTGGGCATCATCACGTCCATGAGGACCACGTGGAATGGATTGCCTTCTTTGGAGCTTGCACGCAGAGCATCGACAGCTTGTTTGCCGTCGCTGTATGCGTTACACTGGAGACCAAGTCCGGTGACGAATTTCACGGCGATCTTCTGGTTGATTGGATTGTCTTCGGCAATGCACACTCGAATCTGGTCACGAGGGATTTGCGTGAGATCGCGAGCTGAGGACCGACGTAGTTCTTTGTCTGCATTTTCCAGATCTTGTGACCATGCAGTCTTGACCGCCGTCTTCTTTGGTGCTTTGTTGAAGACCAAGTGGAATGTCACGGTCGTTCCAACTCCAGATTTCGATTCAAGCCAGATAGCTCCACCGAGAACATCTTCAATTATAGCTTTGCAGATTGACAGGCCAAGGCCACTACCGCCATATGATCTTTCCGTGGATGCATCGGCCTGTGAAAATGGTCGGAAAAGGCGAGCTTTCTGTTCGTCTGGAATACCGATACCGGTGTCGGTGACAGAACATTCAAGGCGAACCCGACCTTTACCCTCACGCGCAACCCTTGCTTTAACCGTAACTGATCCGGCAGGGGTGAACTTGTAACTGTTGCTGAGGAGGTTCATGAAAATCTGGTGGAGACGAACAGGGTCGCCAAGAACAACGAGCTCTGGTGGTACCTTATCAAGATTCTCGATGGTTTCTAGGCCTCTGTCACGATGTGTGTATCGCAAAGCCCGGATGACTTCTGATATAGTTTGCTTTAAATTGAGTGGAACCGTGGAGATCTTCATTTTTCCGGCCTCGAGCTTCGAGAAATCGAGAATGTCGTTGATGAGGGTGAGCAAGGTATCAGCACACACACGAATTGATTCGACGTATTCATCTTGCTCAGTGTCAAGGTAAGTGCCCTTGAGGAGCTCCGACAACCCAATCACGCCGTTCATAGGAGTACGCAGATCATGGGAAATGTTGGCAAGGAAAATCGACTTGGCCCTTGCTGCGTCTTCCTTTAACTTCACGTTGTGCTTGGCTTCGGCCTCCGCATTCTTTGCCTTCTGTTCAGCCTCACGTGCCAATGCCAATGCACGCTTTTGAGATTCAATCATGGAAGCATTCTTGGCGCTGACCTTGCGAATTTCACGGAAGAGCAACGCGTTGGACAACGAAATACCAATTTGGTTGCAAAGCAAATGCAGGACCACAACGTTTCGCTGCGTGAACCAATTTGGTTTTCCTTCCAGATGAATGACGCCGAGAAGGCGATCTCCTTGCACGACTGGCAATGCGATAACAGACCGACCCGCGGGGAAATTTGCCAGGTAGGTCTCGCTGACGTTTGAGAATCGTTCATCTTCGAGAACGTTGTGAACAAGAACTTCTTCCTTTGTGCGCATGACATAGTCCGAGATATGCAAGGCCATTCGATCTTCCATTTCCGAGAAAGGGAGACCACCTGGGAATGATTTCTGGCCCTTTTCAGAATCACCTGCTGCGGCAATTGCAAAGCCATTGTTATCATCGAAGTCAGTAGCAATGATGGCGAAATCAGAACCGTTGCAAGACTCCAAGATGATCTCAAGCATTTTCGTGAAAAGCTTGTCAATTTGAAGCTCAGATGACATGACTTGACTGGACTCCAGAATACTGGATAAGTCAATAATGTCTAACCCGACACTTGATATGTCTAGAGATCGTTCCCCAGCAGCAACACCGTTTTGCTCGATCCATTGTTGTCTCCTCTCATCCTCTTCCATCTGCTGGGGGACCATACACTCTTCTTGCACAACATCACGGCTGATCTCAAGAAGTGAATCAACAGTCTGACAGCCAACGTCCACAGTTTTGGACGATGTGGCCGTCTTGAGTAACCATTCATGTTTCTCAGCGAGCTGCGATGATTTGCCACTGGCGCCAATGGAGCTCCATGAAGCGATGGCATCTTGAATTACAGCACGAGCCGCCCTCTTTGCTCCGCGTCTAACCAAAAACTCACCCTGCAGCTCGAGGGCCAAGGCTTCCTCAAGGGGCCAACCATGGATTTGACAGTGGTCGATTGCAGACTCGAAGCCCTGGATGGCAGCGCTATGATCATTCCGAACCTCGGCGATCAGGGCCTCTAGAATTAGAGCCCACATGCCATAATTTGTTTCCGATGCATCTCGAGCAAAATCGATCTCGGCCTTGTATTCCATGAGTGCGTCCATCTTGTCGTCGAGGTATCCTTGGGAGGGATTGTCATTATGAAAAGTGAGGATTGAGGCTGCCAGATAGAAACAAATCACGTAGGACACACGTGCAGACCAGAGCCTGTGCCTGGTGAACAAAAGTTGAGTACCTACTTGGATTGCTCTGGTGTGGTGACCGAACAGGAACAGTGGAACCATGGCAAGACCCCAGTAGATGTCACGGGGCCTGTCAGCGTTACTGGAGTGAACATCCAGATGCATCATATAGTCAGAGGTGTTGTGATTGGCGTCTGACATGATACCATCGGCAGATCGGAATTCGGTCTTGCCTTGCAGGGCACGTGAAACTTGCTGGACTGCAATGAGACTAGCCCCACCGCGGGTATCTTGGTGCCACTTGGGAATTTCGGCAGGGGTCTCCACACAGAAAGCTTCTAGCTGTGCCATGTCTTGGCCTAGGTACAATCGAGTCATGGCCATTGATGAGATGCTGATCAGGGTAAGATACGGGTCACCCATCGAGAAAGAAGCCTCGAGAGAAGCTTCCAAGGCCGGTAGTGTTGATGCCATGGGAACACGTAAATGGCTGACGTAGAGATTATGAACGATCGAGCCTCTGCTCTGAGTCGACAATTCGGGGCAGAGCTCGAGCAGTTCTAGGGAAAGGTCGCTAAGTCTTGTGCCAAATTCGATATCTTTAAAGCGACCTAATGCGATCATGGCAAGATGGGAACAACCTATTGCGATCTGTGTGAATCCACCCTTGAAAATATGAATGTTCATCACTTCAAGCGCCATTCGATAGAATGTCAATGCATCGTCCCAGTACGTGACTGTCATCGCCTCCGCCATGACTGCGCCGATAGTCACTATAGTTGGGTCCTTGGAAACTGGCTTTTGGGCAATAGAGCTCAGGTCGGCAGTCTCGAGATAGGACTTGAGACGAAGATAGGCAGCGTCGCACTCCTCATACGTTGTAGGTTGACGAAGATGCACACCAAGCTCATCAAGGCAGGTGAGAAGTGAATCCATCGAGCTGTGGTGATCGCCTATCTGAGCGAAGATTTTGGCCTTAATGGTCCAGGCTCTCGACTTGCTTAAGGCGTCCTTGCCATGAACAAACACCTCGTTGATCAACTGGAGGGCATCATCATTGTGACCTTGAGAGGATGACATTTCCGAGGTCGTGATAAATAGCCGCATGGTTTCATCGTAATAAACGTCGGGTTTGAGATCATTCCACATATCATCCTGAAGTAAAGCGATGCAATGGCGGAAGTACCAAAGTGCAGAGGGCCGCGCGCCAGACTGGAAAGCGGTTTGCCCGGCATCCCATAAGATCTGACGATATTCAAGGCGTCTGCTGACACGAGACTTGATAGTCCGCGACGCAAGTGCCACATGATGAGCCATCGAATAGCGACTGCGATGGTCATGGTAATATTTCATCAGCACTTGTGAAACGATGAAATGCATCTTCTCTACATTTCGACTCTCGTTCAAAGAAAGAGCAGCCTGTGCAAGTCGTTCATTGCCGAACCTAGGAGAATCAGTAAGAGTTTTTGCTAGTAGTAAACATAGATGCCTCACCTAAACTCATCGTCGGTCCTTCCCGTGTTTAAGAGGTTTGCTTGAACCAAAAACTGCAACCCAACAACTATATCACCTTCTGATTGTCTGATAAGTGTGATATCTTGGGGTGATGTGAGATCATAATAGTCGTCGTCATTGCTCGAATACAGAAATTCACTTGTCAAGAGCTTTTGTACCAGAGAAAAAGAGAACGGGCTGCCCAGAAGAGCTCCCCAGACCATGATTGATCGAGCGGCTTGGGGAATATCCTGAAGACGCTTGGTGAGAAATCCAAGTCCAAGCCCTTCGCCATAGACAGGAGCCACAAACTCCGTAAATATTCGGTCGAGGTCGAATAGCCACTTTGAGTCCTTCCATGAATACCAAATACAGTTTGTTCTGTAACAAGTTTCAAGCATTACCCGAACGTAGAAGGGATTTCCTCGGCTCTTCTCCTGAACGACCGCACATAGTGGCGTCAATGTTTGATCGGGTTTCTGGTGCATTGTCGCTGCTACAAGTTCCATGACATGCTGCTCTTCGAGGGGGTCAAGTACGATTCGCGTGATCGCCGGTAAATCTTCCAC